CCTTCTATTTAAATCAGAATACTTCCGCTGATAATTTGAATGCTTGCGCGTTCTACTGAAATTTACATATTCTGGCATTGGCAGTTCCAGGGAAAAGTAAGGCTTGACAGGAAAGATAGTTTAAACTTAAAATAAATGTTAGTTAAAATAAATATAAACCCTACAAACTTCTGTGGTTTATTGTCGGAAAATTTGGCCAAGTGAATTTCAGCGGCGCTTCGGACGGCCAACTTTTTACCATCAAGAGAGTTTTGCAGAGATTGAAACAAATGGTAGTCAGATGATGCAAGTTCCAGGCTATATGGTGGCATCAATTTTTTCCAAGTCAATCAAAGATGTGTGTGGCCGTGCTTTGTCATGGTGGAACACAACCTTCTTTCTGTTGGTCAATTATGGTGGCTCTTTCTAGATTAGTGTCATGATTCGCTTAAAAAATGGTTCGATTTTGTTGTGTTTCAGCAGTATTTCACCAATGGTAATTCTGTCAATTAAATATCTTTGTGTTAGTTCAGGTGGCACTCAAACATCGAGCTTCTTTTTGTAGCCTGCTCTTTTAAAATGATCCCGAACTGTCATGTGGTTGATGTTTAGTGCGTCTGCTATTTCCTGACAGCTTGCATGCCAGTCTTGCTCTACCAATTGCAAAATTTCATCAACTTTTTCAGTGACTGGCCAACCAGAGCAAAGTGCATTTTTGACATCAAAATTTCTGGAATGAAATCGAGCTAACGACTTTTGGGTCCATTGTTCAGTCACAGCATTCTCACCATACACTTCAAAAATTTTTCGTCATGTTGATACAGCGTTTTAAACTTTTTTTTATTAAAAAAGCATCACATAGCATATTTCTTCAGATATTTCACTCATTTTCAAATCAGTATAACTTCTTACACGAACATCAAATTAGAAAACTATCTTCACAAACAATGGAATCTGAATGTCACCTTTTAAGCACATTGTAATATCTTGTTATTTAACAAATAACTGTATTTATTATTGAAGTGGCAACACCATATTTGTATGATGTAACCGTTGCTTCAGTAACGTAAGAAATTGTAAAAAATTAGAATTCTGAAGCTTTACGAGCTAGTAGTTGTATGAAAATTTTGTAACTAAAGAATTGTATTCAAATTATCTATCTCCATAAAGTAAAAATAAAATTTATGTTTTACAAAGAAGATCAGCTGTTATTTTGTTAATTACTGCAAAATATATTACAGTCTTATAAAATTGGGGGTTCCACCGAGGTACTGGAAATTAGGAGTGCAATTATCAATTTCGATGGTGCCGGTCTCCTAATCCCAGAAAGTTGCTGAATTTTTTAGAACAACAGTTTTAGTTGCTAATACAAGTATTTCATTTCAGAATTATATTTAAATAGTGTAAGTTTTTGTGTAAAATAACTGATACTAAAAATTTTAGGCATAAATTATAATTGATATTTGTGGTAAAAAAAGTATTTAAAATTATTATTTAGCCTTTACTGTTAGCTGTATTAAATTTTTATGTTGATAATTGATATGTGTAAGCCATCCCGACATTTATATATATAAAAAAAAAAAAGAACTGCTAGCTGAGTTTTTGAATTTGTTGCCAAGCAAGCACGTGGAAAATAAGTAGTAATGTCAAACTGACGTAGTGTGATTTGATTATACTGCAAAAGTGGCAAAAGTCTTTTCTTAGTTCTCGCCATCCAGGCGTGTGGTAGATAGTAACGTCATCCTGGCGTATTACAGATTGTATATTGTAAAAATTGTATTGCCAAACTGGCAAAAAATAGTAAAATTGTCAAACTGACGCAGGTAAGATTCCATTGCATTGTCTAACTGGCAGAGGTGTTTATATAGTTATCGCCTACGAGGCTTGTGAACAGTGAGTTAAAACATCAACCTGGTATAGTATTATTTTATTTTGTGCCAAACTGGGAAAGTTGTTTAAATAATTCTCTAATGTGTTAGTGTGAATTTCGTATTTAACAAATTAAGTTTCGCCAGAAATTATATATTTTTAATACAAATACAATTTGTAAGATTCAAATTTAAGGAAAGCTTATTAAAGGTAAATTGTTCAACATGCCATTCTTAGCTAGAAGTAAAAACATCACTTAAAAGTACTGCCAGAAGAGTTGGGGTTAACGGTGAGACCTGAATTCCGTGAGACCTGAATTTAAGATTGCTCAGTTGCATAAATTGATTACTGAAAGTCCCGGTTATGATGAGGAGTTTACTCGAGAACTACTGGCTGCAATTAGAGAAGAAAGAGAAAGAAAAGAACGCGAAGGAGAAGAAATAGAAAAGGAATGCGAAAAAGCGTTTGAGTTAGCGAAACTTCAATTGGAAGCTATGGCTGCAAGAGCACAGCCGATAGAAACTACGCTGTTACCTGAGCGGCCTTTATTAATCAGAATTCACAATATCATGCCACTTTTCAACCCTGAAGAAGTTGAAATAAGTTTATTTCTGGTGTTATTTGAGCATCAAGCTAAAATTATGAATGTACCTGCTGAAAATCAAGTGACTCAACTTATTTCATTGCTGCCTCCTGATACTGTTCAGCTTATTGCTAGAGAACCAGAAGAGGACGTAAAAAAGTATGAATATGTAGAAACTTCACTGTTACAACGATTTAAATTGAGCACAGAAAAATTTTGACAATTATTTAATAAACATAAAAAATCTACTGAAAGTACTTGGTATGATTTTTACTATGAATTAAAGAATTATTTAGAAGAATGGCTTAACGAATTAAACATTAAAACTTTTGAACAGCTAAAAGATCTCATGCTGGTTGATCAAATTAAAAAGCATACTTCTTCTGGTTTCAAAGAACATTTTATAGATGAATGGACTACCATCATTTCACCTACTGAGATGGTTAAAAACACTGAAGATTTTGTAGGTATGAGAAAAACAATAAAACCAAAATTTTCTGCTAGTCAGACCGAGAAAATTAACAAAGGATCATTTAAACCTTGTTATGATAGTTTTTTGAAAAAATTAGAGCATCCGCCTCATTTTAAGCATTCTGATAGATGGGATGATTCAAAATACCAGAAAGATCATTGACAAAGGAATCAGTTCCCAAAACAAAAACCAAGAAAATTTATATGAGAAAAGATATTGACCACGTTGTTTCAAGTGTGGGTCATACGGACATTTTAAGCCTCAGTGCCCTCGTTTAAAACCAAATGAAAAGGTAAATTGCATATCTTCGAATGATGATTTGTTAGAGACATATACAATTAACAGTTTAGTTAATGGGTATGAAATGCCTATTTTTCGAGACACAGGAAGCTTCGATTGATGTTATTTCTCAAAAATACATAGATAATGTAAAAAATGACTGGAGAACATGTCTGGGTATGATATCTTTTAAATGACCATCTAATGTGTTTACTGTTAGCGGAAGTTGAAATTAATTGCGAACTTGATCATATAAAGACAAAGGCAGCTGTTGTTACAAATGATCCCGGCAAATATGTATTGGGTAACAGAACTGCCCAATTGTTCAAAGATCAATATCATTCTTAAATTTAGGGGGGGAAAAAATGCAGTTTTGACATGATCTCATGAAGTAGATCGAAGTAGAGAAACCAAAATGGAGAAACTAGAAGAACTGATGTTTATTGAGACTGATGAAGATACTTTACCACAAACTGATGAGGAAGACAAGGAAATTAAAGAAAGTGGTTAATGTTAATTCTAAGGAATTAGTTGAATCTCAGCATCAAAGCAGAGATCTAGCCTCATTGCTTAGCGAAGCAAAAAATGAAAATCCCAGCAAGACATGATTTGTATGATGTACCGTTGTTCATTAATGTAAGGAATTGTAAAAAATTAGAATTTTGAAGTTTTACCAGCTAGTAGTTGTATGAAAATTTTGTAACTAAAGAATTGTATTCAAATTATCTACCTCTGTAAACTAGAAATAAAATTTATGTTTTACTAAGAAGATCAGCTGTTATTTTGCCAATTACTGTAAAATACATTACAACATGCTCGTTTGGGACAACCGGGTGAGTGTTGTCAGATATATAGGCATGCCAACTGTGCAGTTTAAAAGCAATAAACACGATGCTTCATCCCTATTGTTATTAATTACTGGGTAAACCTATGAAATTACACTTATTAGACTCATTATATATACAGTAATAATTATTTTGGATGGAAATACCTTATATAAGGCAGTATTTCTCAAACTTTCTGATCTTATGATCCTCGTGCATTTAAAAGGTTAATTCATTATGACCATATGAATAAATTTACTGTGAAAGATTTATAAAAGAAAATATTGTAACAGTCAAGGAATAGCAAAATAAGCCTATATAATTCTTAACAATTAGTTGATTATTTTAAATTAATTTATAATATAACATATATAATAATATAAATATATGTAACTATACAATAAACAAAAAAGTAATTCAGAAACATTTGGTGTTCCAATCCAATCCCAAGTCATGACTTGTCGGGGGGGGGCATAATTTACACTTGAGAATCACTGTACTAAGTTAAGATCTAAACTCACTAATTGAGATGCATTAAGTGTTAGTAAGGAAAGAAAGGGGGGAAGTAATAGATCAAGGGTGAAAATTTGTTAGGAAGTATTGCTACTTATGCTAGATAATAAATAAATGGCATTCTGTCATTTATAAGCAAAATGGACATTTAGTGCTATAAGTTTATGAAATCAACATATTTATGATTTCACCGCTGTGTGAAATTAAAAATGCTTAAATTGTCCAGTGTTATTCAGAGATAGAGTAAAGATAAGGTGCTTAATGCTATGCTTTTATTTTTCGAAATGTGTACATTGATTTTTGCTTATGAATATCAGAAACAAACTGTAATTTTTATGTAATTGACTTATGTGCATAAAATTTAGATGTAGGTAATAATAACTATGTTAATATGGGGGAAGTTTATTGTTGAAATGTTTTCAAAGAAATAATGTTTTGTATTTCATAATCATAATTTTAACTATGCAATTTCTTGTTTTAGAAGTCCACCTGCATAGTTTGGGAAATAATAATGCCAAGGAATAAATTAGAAAACAGAAATAATGAATGGAACTGCCGAATTTCTTTCTCCAGCGTCCAAATGGCTGTCTTCGCCAAGGCCTCCTGCAGTTGGAGAAGAAGACAAGAATTTCCATGACACCAGTCAATGGTTTTTGGAATCTCCCAAAAATTTCAGCTACAACATGGAAGAACGTGAGCCTCCATGTGGTGGAGGTGACAATTCACCAAACCACCCAGGTACTCCAGAAACTTCAGGTAGCTTGCAACAGACAAAGCAATCTGTAGAAAATTCTCCAAATCCCAGTCCTCCGCCACCGCTTAAATGGGCTCAGAGCTTAAGTTGCTTACTAGAAGATATACAGGGTGTGACTTTGTTTAGAGAATTTTTGCTCCAGGAAGGTCTGAACCAGAAAGGTTTATTATTTTTGATTGCATGTAGAGGTATGGGAGCAGTTGCCAATGATAAAGAAAAGCGGATAAAAGTAGTAACTATGTTATATGAAAAAAATGTAAAGCTTTTTCATGAAATTACTGATGAAACAAAGAAAGAAATTGAGAGAAAGCTCTCAACGAACACTGATATTGATGACACAATCTTTGATGATGCTCAACGGGAAGTTGAGGCTTATATCATGAAAACTACTTACCCTAATTTTTTAAGTTCAGACATTTACCTTCAGTATCTTGGAGGGTTACAGAATCAGTCATCAGCTGAGAAAGACAATATAGTTTCATCTGATCATGGTGAACTTTTGCCTACAGTTCATGAAGATAGTGAGTTACAAATTTCTTCAAACAGCAAAATTCTTATTGAAAAAGACTTCTGGCAAAAGAACAAAATTTCATCTAGTAAATTAAGGCTTGACGGACAATCCGGGTACTATACTTTTATTTATATTTTATCTGCAGATTTTAAAACTAGCTCTGCATATCATTTTAATTTTATTGCCATGACATGCTAAAATAATTTAAAGATTATTTAATATAAATTATTATCCAACATTAAATATTTTGTGTCAAAAGTATGCTTTACTGTATTTTTAAGTTATACTAATATTTCATCAGTTAAATTTAATGTATCTTCATTAATTATATCAAAATTATCAATATCAAATCTGTCTATATCAAAGAAAAGAAGATATTTCAGAGCTGTATAAAATTATTTTATGTACCTTTTTATTGGATATTCTTATGTAGAATTACTTGTAAAGCGTATTTCTGCATAGAATAATTTACATGTTTTATACCTGAAGTTATTAATTTATATTTTCCCGAGAAATTATTGAGAGTATATGTCCCATAAAATTGTGTAGTTTATTTATTTATTTATTTGTTTGTTAAATCTCCTGAAATTCAAAAACAGTACAAAGTCCGAAGTCGGGACTTCAGCGATTCCGGATTTGGGATTTTTCCGGATATTATTTTATCAGTTGAAATCTAGTAACATGCCATGTAGAAATTATAAAATTAAAAACATGATATTGTGGTTTATGAAATAATGAAGTATTTATTATCTAAAGGGTATCATAATTTACAGAAAAAAGCTTAATATTTATTTTTTTACCTTATTAAACATTTCTTACAATGTAAGTTGTTTAAGTTGCTTTCAATTTAAGTTGTTCGTTTTTTATGCTAATACTTTCTCATTAATTCTGTAGACAGACATAATCTCTTGTTGAGTTACATTGTTGAAGTCTTGTAACTGCTGTTTCGAGAATTCCGACTAAACTTGTCAATTGAAATTTTCTCATTTTCAGTAACTTCTCTGTCACTTTCTTCACTATCGGCAGCGGTGGATCTAGAACCATCTAGATTTCGCCATTCATTAATTGATTGATGATTGTGAAGCATTGTCATCACAATGAAAAACTTCTTTTATATCATCTTCATTTATTACCGCTTTTCCACATTTCTTTACAAAATCCGTTATTTGAAAAATTTTACCTTTGTTTTGCGATATCCGAAAACCTTTAAAATTCATTGCTATCATCATCAAATTTAGCTATCCTTCACTATACATATTTGGCTATGCATCATGAGCTGGGCGACTAACAAGAAGTTGTTTCCTTAAATTTTGTCTTGCTTCTATCGCACACTGAGACAATTAAGCCTGAATTGTATTAGTTATTTATTATACTTATGTCTAAGTTTTTTGCAGAGTTCTGAATCAGATTTCTGAAGCAAACTCAGCAATCAGACTTTTGAATAAAAATTCCCACATATACTTAAACCTTACTGAGGGCCGGCGTTAGATAACATACCGCCTGATGCAATGTGTGTGGGTCCTAAATTCTGTGACTCCATGCAGACATACAAGCCCTGGCGCTAGTTCTGGGTTTATGAAAATAACAAGTTATTCTTAATTCAAATAGCCCTAAATGTAATTGTTGGGTTTATGAGTATCATCAACAAAATCTATTTTTAGCATATGGAAAGAAATTTTGGGTAAATTTTTCCTCGTCAATAATTTTAAACGCATTTAACTTAAATCTGTAATCATTGCCAAGCGTAATGTCAACATAAAAGGTTACTATACTCCTTTATTATTCAATTACTAACATAAAAAATTGTTTAGGCATCTCTGCATGAGTCATTACTCAAGTTTTTCATGTTTTGATAAACATGCGGTGATGAAAGGGAAGTACAATAAATAATGATTCGCCAGGTTGGCGTCAGAACAACGATGTATCTATGTGGAATGTTTTAGTTTGAGATGTGTGCCAAGTAGATACGCAGCAACGGAGTCAAATTACTGATCATGCAAATTTATGCTAAAATGATTGTTTCTTCAATAACAATGTATTTTATTTAGTGTCGAAGTGAAATTAAGAATCAGAACTCTCCAGATGTTTTATTAAGCGCAGAAGGGGGATGAAATGCGCATGTTAGAAAAACTTTGTTGATGGTTTGAGGTCCAGATTTTAGATCATTTCAGATAATGGATGTCCGGATTTCGGACTTTGTACTGTATAAATTATTTTCAGTTTGATATAGCATTCACTTTATTCAAAATATTTTTGGATTTAAAAATGGTGTTGAATACATTTTAAATTTATAATGGACTTGCATAGCCAACAATACCTTATATAAATTAATATGTATTTTACTTCATATTTTCAGTAAATGGAACTAAAAAAAATGTAGAATTCTGAGCTACTTCGATCATGATTGTTTTCTAAGATTTATAGAAAACAGGATTAAAATCTTCTGTAGGGGACAAAACTCATAAATGCATTACCAAGTAATAGCTAGTTTAAATATCTATTAATGTAAGATATATCATCTTACTTGTATGCTTGTATAGGGATAAAAACTTGTTTGTGCTTTTTTGTGCATGTTAAGTATAACATATTTAAATCCTGAATAATCTTAATAAAAATGAAATATTTAATAAAATCTTGTTAGATATTTCAGTTATAGTAAAAGTATGGCTTGTACATTTTTTTATCTTAATGGTGAAGTATGAGATTCAAGATAGAACTTTTCTTGTAATAAACTTTTCTTGATGATTATAGTGTACATAGCTGCTAACTTTTCAGATTTTATTGAGTGATTCCCAGTTTTTTTATCATGTCTTCTGGTAGATACTGAATTTCCCAGTTTTTAATTTTTAGCCTTTAAAACTTAGAAGACAGTGGCCGAAGTATAGCTCAGTGTTGCAATGTCTCAAAAAGACAGCTCCAATCAAACCCCCCTTCCTCCCCCAGCTCAGGTTTCCGTGATAGATATTACATGTTTAAGAAACTCAAACATTTTATGCATTTTTATTTTTATATTCATTATTACACCCAAAACATTTTTCAGTCTAAAAGATAGAAGAGAATCAATTTTAAATATCATAAGAAAACAAATTAAGTTGAATCTATGTAGCAAATGCAATTAAATAACTATCATTTGGTATCCTGTATGCAGAATCTATATGACAAACACAATTAAATAATTATCATTTTGTGCAATTGTTGTGCATAACGTAGTTATAAATATTTATCATAATTTTTTTTAAATTCCATATCAGTTGTTTTTATTCAGGAAAGTACTCGAATCCAAAATTATCTTTACATGCATGAAGTAATGGATTTCTCAGAAACTGAACTGTAATTATATGAATTTGCGTGGAATGATACACAAAATCATAATACACAAATACAAAAGAAAAAAAAAATTATGAGCACTGCATATGATTTAAAACTGTAGCAAGAAACAATAAAAATGATAGTATGTTATAAGGAGAATTCAACATGAAAAAAGAGTAACTGGGAGAAAAAAATTACAGGTTATGAATTTAATGTAGAATGTATTCTTGCCTGACTAGTACACATACATCGTCTGTTCTCATGCTGGCAATAACGTTGCTAATCACAGTTTTAGAAAATAAGTGCCATTTCCTCCAGTGATACAGTCTTCTGAGCATTCGCATCTCCAAGAGAAGGATGTCTCCAATCAGCTGCTTTTCCAAGGTAGTTCTATAAGTTCTGTATCAGGTTAAGATTTGGAGATTTTTCTGGCCTTGGTGTTTGGTCAGTGTTTTCACTTTCAAGAAATTTGTTAACGAGGTTTCTCAATGTGAATCAAATCAGCATTATCATCCATAAATAAAAATTCAAATCCATATGCATAGGTGAAAAGTTTTATATAAGGTTTTAAAAATGTGTAGGAGTGTATGTCCATTGCATTATTCCTCCCCATACCATCACACCAACATTACTAAAACGATCATGTTTCATTATCCTGGGATTATGATTTCGCATTACCATCTCCTTCCCAATGTAAACTCCTTTAGAATCAGATATTAAACTAACCCTCAACTCATCAGTAAAGAGAACATGGTGTTCACTCCAGTTCCAATGTTCTTTGCACCAATTAAAGCTATCTCTCTCATGAAGACAGTGAAATACATGCTCTTGGCTATCTGGTGTAAAGGCTTTTATTATTATTATTATTAAGCCTTCTGTATGCAATTTACTGTAATGCAACAGTTCCATTAGTGGCTGCAAGTTGTGACCTTAATGCCGAACAGTAGACTTTCTGCTATGATGAGCAGTTATTTTCAGATATCTTTCTTGAACCTTTTTGAGACCTCTTTATGAAAATTGTAGTGTTCTGAAATTGTTTTCATAACATAGAGACTGTCTTCAAATATTCACACTTCTCACTGCCTCTGTAATTGTCTTCCTAGCTTCTAAATGGTCTGTAATTTGCCACTTCTTCTAAATAATAACCTTGGAGCAATAGCAATCTGTTTTGAGTCCTTACACACTGAAATCAAATGCTGTATTGTAAAAATTTGCTGATATTTACTCTGCACAAATTGCTTCATGTATTGTCAAATAATGTAATGCCCTGATTTGCATATCAGAAACTGTTTGATCACTTTTCATTGGACAGTCCTTATTAGGCTTGCCTTTCATATATTCTCTTGAAAAATGGTTTACATCGATTTGGTATTTCATGAAATGTGAGTATTTTTGGGTTTATAAAGATGAATTTGAACATGAGTGCATTTTTTGAAAAGTAATATCTCATTTACGTTAGCAGCTTTGTAATTTTGTTTGTAAATTTTTTTTTTTTTAAATGTAATTTTATTTCTTTTTTTTGTTTTGTTTTAGGTTATACTTAAAATCACCATATGGAAACTATAGCAGTTATCATTCTAAATATGGGTCTTTTTTACCAGCATCTGCTCAAGATTCTGAGTTACAAAGTTTGTCCTCAGATGCTCAAACAGATGATACAATGTCTGTTACTGACGGTAGTACTGTGTAAGTTTCGTAGACCTTGAGTACAGGAATTGTTTTTTATTGTAGTGAAACTTCCCTTTATTAATTTGTAATGAAACCTAATTAAAAACAGTGCTGTTAGAAAAATATTTTTAATGATTCCTAATGGATATTAATCATGTTAGATAAAAATGCCAATAATTAAGAATTGAGAATTAAACAGGAAAAAGATTTAAAACAATCAGCATTCGTGATAATCTAATGACATAAGCTCTGCTGTGGCTTAAGATCGTTTATTTGCTTTCGATGTAGCAAAGTGTCTGTCAATTTTATCATAGTGTCATCTGGAATGATATATGATTTTTGAGTTTATTTCTCAAATTAGAGCGATACGTATTTTAGATATAGAGACTATTAAGTTAGAAAAAAGGAATTATCTTGATGCAGTTGAGTTGCTTATACGGTATGGAATCATTCTGTTTTAATATAAAGTCAGCATTAAATGGGAGTTGATACATTTGTTATTTGCAATAGAATCAGTTTAGTTTTAAATACTTAGAAGCAACATTATGAAAATGAGTGATGTGAGGTGTGAAGCATTAGCTTCTCCACTGACAGATTCTGCTGTTATTCAGTCCAGGCAAACACTGTAATTCTTAGTTTGATGGTGATATATTGGATCAGTAGTATGCTTTTTTGATAATAAATACAAATGAAGCAGTAAGAACAAAAATAAAATTTCAGTTACTTTTTTTTTAGTTATGAAATTAAATGTCCTTGCAGTTAGCATGATCGGAATCCTGTATTAAAAAAATTAATGTATAAATAAATTCATTTAAAACAGTGAATATCTCCATGTCCCTGTAATTTAAAAATATTACAGGTACTTGGAATTCTTATTGTTAGTATTTGAAAATAATTTTTCCTTTCAGTCATATCATATGTCAAGGTTGCCATATCATAGTTCGCAAGCTGTGTGCCGCTCTTATGCAAATAAAATATACGCTTGAAATATGTTAAACTAAAACTACTCAATGCCCAGAAGAAAGTACAGTCAAAAGTCGTTAATTCGGACACCCATAATCCGGACCTCAAAGCTTCAAACTTTCTGCGCATGCATCGCGTTGATTGATGATCTATAATCCTGAAATGACGATCGATAATCCGGAATCGCCGAAGTCCCGACAAGTCCGGATTAACGACTTGACTTGACTTAGACTGCAGTTAATTTGTCTCCTTTTTTTATAAAGATATTAGTAAACAAACTGATCAGTATCCAAATGTAATAATGTTATTTAATTTCTTGTTACTTAAGAAACTTTAATGTTACTCAAAAACATTAAAATATTACGCTCATTCTATCAAACAGTTGTTTAAAGGACACCTTTAAAAGTTAGATCTGTTTGTGGATGCTTTGCAGGAAGAATCTGCCAAATTTCTGAATCATTAGCAGCGGTAGAAATTAAATTGAGGTTGTCTGTGAGTGGAACAGAATACATGTGTATTACATCAGAAGCGTTTAAGCAGAATTTGATAAAAGTTGAAAATAATTTAGAAATGTATTCAATGTGCAAATTAATGAGAAATTTATGGCATTTGGAAGGTTTGAGAATTTCTAATAAATGTGATGACAACTACAACTTAGAAGATGATTTTACCTTTAGAAAATTTCAAGAATCCATAAAATCTGAGAATTACAGATATATGACTTTTTTGCCTTGGAATGAGTGTACAGGGAATTGCAGGATAATTTTAAGATAACAGAAAAATGGTTTGAGTCGCTGTGACATGGATTTAAGAAGAATCCGAAGTTTCAAGAGCATTACAAAGCTGTGATTGATCAGCTTTTACAAGAACGTATCGCGGAAGAATCTGAATATTTTGAAACTGAAAAAGAGTACTTTTTAACCTCATCGAGCTGTAATTAGAAAAAACAAAGATGCCCATTGCCTTTGATGCATTATCACATTCTGAAGGCAGGCTCTCATTGATTATTTAGAATCAGACACTTCTTTCCATTTGAAATCTGTTTCACTACTTTTAAAATGATGTAAATATAGACTTGTTGCTTTTGGAAAATCAAGTTGCAGCTCTTGGACATTCCTGAATTCCAACATACTGCTCTTACCGAAATGAATATTGGGTACCCCTGTCACAGGCCAAATTTAAATAATGGAAATTAAGAGTTATGTGGAACTTTCTTTTGTAAAGGTTTACATGGATTGTGTATTATATACAAAAATTGTTGAAGTATTATTGTAAACTTTGAATGTAAAAATGTATTAAGTTCTTTTTATTTGAGATTAATTTTTAATTTCTACTTAGTGATTGCCCTACATACAGTAAAAGCAGGCAAAAGCGACAACAGAAAGCACTAAAACATAGTGCAGCTCTCAACAAAGACAGACTTAGTCACAGTACTTTTATACCTGTAAGTTTTTTAATTTTGTACATTTATATTTTCATACACAAATATTTATATTTTCTCTCTGTCTCTCTCATATATATATATATGTATATATCTGTGTGTGTGTATATATATATAATACATATATAATTATTATTTTCTATGTATGATTATCTCCTATAAAAGGAAGTACAATACAAGGTCTGTAATCCGGATATCCATTATTCCGAATGATCTATATTCGGACCTCAAAGCCACAAACCTTTTTTTTTTCCATTGCTTTACGCATGTGCATGTGTGTGTACGTATGGCCTTACAGCATGGGCATGCACGTTGAGAGGATGTGTCTCAAGATACATTAAAAAATGCTTGGCATATTTCATGGTGTGACGATGAAGATGATAGCTGCAAATTTGAAGGTTTTCTGACATCGCAAACTAAAGGTGAAATTTTCCAGTTATTGGATTTTGTAAAGAAATGTGGAGAAGCAGTAATAAATGAAGATGATAATACAGAAGTTTTTCATTGCGATGACAATGCCCCAATAATCAATCAATTAACAGACGCTGAAATCTGTAGTATGGTTCTAGATCCAGAAAATACCGCTTCCAATAGTGAATTTGAAGGTTTTCGGACATCGCAAACTAAAGGTGAAATTTTCCAGTTATTGGATTTTGTAAAGAAATGTGGAGAAGCAGTAATAAAGGAAGATGATATAACAGAAGTTTTTCATTGCGATGACAATGCCCCAATAATCAATCAATTAACGGACGCTGAAATCTGTAGTATGGTTCTAGATCCAGAAAATACTGCTTCCGATAGTGAAGAAAGTGACGGAGAAAGGTTATTGAAAACAAAAACAATTTTGATTGACAAGTTAATCGGTATTCTCAACATAAAAATTACGGGACTTGAACAGTGTGGAACTTTGTAACTGAATAAGAAATTATGTCTGTTTATAGAATTAAAGAGAAAGTATTAGCACAAAAAAATGAAGCAACTTAAACAATTTACATTGAAAGAACTGTTTAATAAAGTAGACAAATAAATATTAAGCTTTTTTTTTTTTTTTGTAAATTTTGATACTCTTTAGATAATAATTGCTCTTTATTTCATAAATTACGGTTTGATATTTTTAATTGTATAATTTCTGCATATCATCTTACCATATTTAAAATGATGATCTATAATCCAGAAAAACCCCTAATCTGGAATCGCCGAAGTCCTGATGAATCCGGATTATAGACTGTCTGTATTCATATTTCCAGAAACATCAAACTATCTGGAGCAAGTGTGTGTATTCAACTGGATTTTGTTTCTTTGAAGGTGACTAAGTAGTAATGTTTTACATGTGAAAAATAAACTGCGGGCAGCATTTTCCATGAACTTTTTGAAGACAGGAATATATAAATGTACACATAATAATGTTGATTTTGTCAAGATATTTTCAAATTCTGAAGTAAAAATCTGATTTTTTCCCTCCTTTTAGCGTACACAAAGATTACTGGAGCAGAAACTATCAGAAGAAGAATTTCATGCAATCTTAGTAAAAAAGTTAAATAAAGTATTAGAAGAACAAAAGCACAACCAAAAGGTCTCTGAAAAGCTGAAAGCAATTGAGGTAATTTTTGTTTTGTGTTCAGTGGTTTTTAATTTTGTTTCCTTTTGTTAAAATTTCAAGTTATTATATTATTTTATAAATATGTTATACTTTTTATTCTGCTCATAAAACTGCTGTTCAAGTAATTCATTTTTAAAATTTTCATTGAATGAATGTTCAACAAGTTTTGATGAGAATCTAACTGGGCAGTTTTAGGCAGCTGTGATGCAAACTTTACCCTCCCCCAATAAGAACTTTAAAAATTTATTTATAGTAGAGGTTAATTTGTAAGAAAACTGGAGAAATGTGTTTCAGGAAGGGGGGGAGTTGCTATTGAGATCAGCAGCTAGAAGTTTCTTTTTAACTTAACCTGTAATCAACAAGCTCCATAAAGCCTAAATCTGTGTATTAAAATTGGTTTAATCCTGCGAATGGCATGACTGCCTTTTTCTGGCATGAAATGTTTTGTCACTTGAGTTATATTAGCTTATAATTTCAAATATTTTACTGTTTTACCTCCTTTACTCATGTAAATATCATTATCATGAGTGAAAATTTATGAAAATAGAAAGTCTTGATACTAATTTAGTTAATAAATGTAGTTTAAATACACATCTTCATAAGCAAATTCAAGAAGTCATGCTACTGAGAGGATTGATATGTGTGTAGGGAAGCAGTCTTTGTGTCTTAAAACTAACAGTTGTCTTTCCTTTAAGGCAGTGGGACCATTCTTGAAGTTAATCTCAATTCTTTAAAACAGAAGCAAAATCAGTTCGTAGCCATTAGTAAAAGATATCAAAATAGAAAATTCCAGTAGTACTTTTATTAAAATAACAATAAAATTCTAATTACAAGGATATTTTTTTTGCCAGAATGCTTGTTGTTCTCAATATAGCCCAGAGAAATTAGTTGGTTTTTAGTTTTTAGTTTTATTCTATTTATTTATTTATTCAAAATGTTTTTATCGATTTAAATGATTTGAAGGAATACATGTTGTCAAAAAATTGACTTATTTATTTAGGTGGGGATGTTTTGTTTGGCTTATAGCATTGACTGAGCTTAATATCCTGAGCTCAGTCAATGATCCAATATTTCTTCATTGTAGTTTCAGTTATGGTGTATGTTTTAAATATTATTCTAATTTATTTGTAATTAATAGAATTAGCTCATGTTAATTAGTTAAGTGTAGTTTGGTTATAAAACTTGATTTTAAATTCTTTTGATGCGTATAATTTTAATAATGATTTTTATTTCAAGTTAATTTTCCTTTTATATTTAACCACCAATAATTTGACATTTGAGCAGCGGTACAGGGGATATCTATCAAAACAAAACGGTTTATGAAATCAAATTTAAAAACTTTGTTTAACTGAAGTTATTTGAAATTGTGTTATCAGAATAATAATAATAAGCAAAAAGTGATGTTTTTCTGTTAATCAGTGGCATTTATTGCAAATGAAATGAATGATTATTCAACGCGAGTTGTAATGTCAACATCATAAATAAAATTAATTACATTAAATGTATGAATTTTTCATTGATGTACAATGTTTGCACAATGAATTATATACAAGTGTGATAAGTAGATATAAATGTAATTGTGTTGCCATAAAGTCACATGCTACTGCTGAACTGGGAGTATCACCTCTACTAGAGTTATAATATGGCTAAAAATTGTTCCTGTTTTATTTAATAGTTATTAAATTCAAAGCAACTTAGTTTTTATTTAATTTTTACGTAAAAGTTTCCTATTTATTGATAAAAAGTTTTTAAAAAACTACCACTTGGGAACTTTCACCTAGCAAGGTGCTAGGTAATGTTTTGCTGTATGTAATGTAAACAGCTGCAAGTAATAAGTTAATGTATGTAATATATATTAAAATAGTAAGTAATAAATTACATTTATTATCAGGAACCAGAATCTTCTAAACCAGAGGTGACATCTATTCAGAAAGGATCCCACAAAAATAGTGCACCTCCAGTTTTGGATACAGCATTCTTTATTAGTCCAAGTGAGGATAATGTTCAAGACATTCTGGATAAACATGTGTCTAGAGTCTTCAAAGATTCTTGTCAACAGACACCAACTCTGTCACCTGGTTGTATGTCTCCTTTGACTCATGAACCCTCACCTCTGACTCGTGAAGCATCAGAACGTTCTCGAGTTCGTTGGCCGTATGATCCCTCATTACAAGAATCTGTTGGAACAGGGTTCAAAATGGGACAGGGATACCTAAGACATGGAAAGGTTAGTTTTATTGCTGTTCATTTATGTTTATGCATTGTATATAACAGGCATGGTCAAACTGAAGCTTTTTAAGTGTGACTTGCATTAAAGCAAACAAGAGATTTATTTTTTTGAACTATTGTAACAAATGACTCTCATCATAACTTAGTATACCACGATGTAATTTGCATTGTGGCTTGCATCTAACAAATGACATTTTTTTCCCCCCAGCTCAAAAACCAAGATCATGCTACTAGGTACATATTATGAATTTTTTTAGTACTTAGTAATTTCAGTTTTTTTAACATTATTTTTTATACAAAAACTATTGACAACTTATTTTGTAATTTTTAGTTGCGTAAATAAGTTTTGTGCACCAAATTTGCAGTTTATTCATAGAACTGTGGATTCTCTCCTACTTAGAGAGTTAAGAAAATCATTGTTTCATGTTTTCAAATCACAGTGTTATTTGCCATTTGAATGAAAAGGTTTTTACATTATTCTTAAAATGCTTCTATGTTTGTCTTTCTTAGTTTATTCTTATTAAAGTAAGTTGATAATTAGAATCAGAATCAGGAGGTAAAAGGGTATGTCTGGAACGTCTAGAAAGAATGTTTTAGTATATTGAACAGTTTCAGAATTAATGTGAAGTAATTTAATTATTTTTGCTACATAACTACATTAATTATAAAATGGAGTAGTATTATAAAATTACTTGAAATTACCCCCCCCCAATTCAAAACTATTTTTCTGCTTTAAATATTTATTTGCAGCTTTTCATTTTTTCAAAGTTCTGACATCTGTCTACCTTCTGCTGACATGAAGTTTGTACAAAGAATTGATTAATTTATGCTAGAGATTTTATATTATTATATTATTTTATATTATTTATGTTAGAGATATTTTTTAAAGAATTGATTAATTTATGTTAAAGATAACTTCTCATAATTTAGTAAAAAGCCACAGCTTACAAATGATAAGAAAGTAAAATTATGTGATGTAATGGTTATTTTATGAATATAGAAGATGGTAAGAGAAGCTAAAATATTACATTGAGGTTTTTTTTTTTTTTTCCCCTTGCTTATATTTACTCTGAAGTACTATAAAAGTTTGTACAAATATGTCTGGCAAAAGCATAGTAATGCTGTCTATGCATGCTGTATTATTTCGTACTTTTTTTGAAAAAATATATCCAAATTGAAATCTGATGCCTGTATTTTTATCAGTGTTAATTAAATTAAATATTCAAAGAGAATTTTTTTAAAATTATTATTTACTTGCTTATATTCTTGCCCCCCTTTTCTTTAGGATCAGGACACTAATTCAGTGGAACCCATTCCTGATGAATTTTTAGATTCTCAGAGTAGACGTAGCAGAGAGCAGGCAAAGCGCCTGTTTATCAAACAAAAGTTATCTGCAATGACAGACAGTAGGAGCAGTTTCTTTGATAGTGGAATAAGTGCTTGTGAACCAAACCCCAGCAATTCAAAGTTAGTGTCATTAATTAATGAATATGTGTATGTTTTAATTTAGACTTACATGAATTATTTCAAGAACATAATATGTAGTTATTTCTGTACACTTCCAAAATCATAAAATTTTTATGTAGTCATTATTGGCCCAAAGTGGCATTAGCCCAGAACTGTTACTCTCAAAATGGCATTTTGCGTTGAGTCACTTAACCCTTTGTTTAAGAAACTCGCGCGGAACTTAAGGGAATCGAAGGCAGTCACCATACAGGATGGGGGCTTTGCATTGCTAAGCCTAATTATATATATATATATATTAAACTTAGGAGATAATATAATGAATTAATCAATATTGCTTAGGAAATAAAATATTATATATATATATGTATATATAAAAAAAGTTTCACGTCTGGCATCGTAATTTTTGGTATCATTTTAGATTATTATTTGAGCTCTTATATATGTTAAAATTAGCATGTAATAACCTTTTTTCTGTATTTTACATGAAAATATATTTAAAAAAAATTGCTTATCTTGTAAAATAATTTTCGGAAGCGCTATTCAAATTATTCCAAAGTTTTAATTGATAAAATCCATCAATAAATTTTAAAATTAATAAAACAATACAATAAGGACTATTTACAGTAAGAAGTAACAGAATTTAAAATGAAGACCGAGTGTTGTAAATCTCAAAGCACAGAGAAGTATCACTTTCTAACTCTTAGAAAAAATATCACTTTCTAACTCTTTAGAAAATGAATCATCACTCTCATCTGTGTTATTAAATGGTTCATTAACCATACAAGTGTATTCTTTCTCTGAAAAATAGCACCTTCATGCCATAATGGACTTGAGGTGAGGCTTTCCTAAATAAAAAGAGAAGAAACGGAAATATATCTGAACGTAATGCAAAATGTAACAGAACTCCACATAAGTAACCCTAAAAGACGGTACATAGTATGGGGGAAATAGAATAAAAAGGAATTGGTTATACATCAGACATGCGGATGTTTATATTAACATGCCGCGATTTAAAGAGCCCACTTTTGTTTACGCCCTCCCTGGCAGCAGTTGATGAGTAAAATACCAAAGTCAGACAGAATATATAAAACTCAAGGTCAAGAACCTAAAACTATGTTCATTTCAAAAGTAATGAACATAGGATGCCATCTAGTAAAGTGGTTTATTTAAGTGGTCTTCAGAAAAACTTTCCCTCTTAAAATGCGTATACGTATCACCCATCCTCTGAAAGCAATCTCTAGTGATGTGTGGATGGGACGCCCAGCTGTAAGAGACGTTCTTAGGGAATGCATATATGGGATGCCTGTCCTAGAAGGGTTAAATGCAGAGTATCGCTGTTCAAATTGTGGACATCAAATATTATCACCCTGTATTATATTAAACTAAATAATAAAGAATTTACATGAATATATATACCGGGGGGCCATAATTAAACTGACAGTGCTCACAGTGTTCTTAGCGCGATCTATTTGCGATAACGATGCCACATTTTGTAGGAAGATTAAACAAGACAGGACGAAGGATTCCGCAAAAAAACAAAATTAGTTCCAAAAGTCACCGCTAGGGAAATATTTGGTGCTGTGTAATAGAAAATAGAGTGTTAACAAATGCAAATCAATACGGAAATTACCTTTTATTTTGCATTCAAATGAGGTTCAATGTGGGCTGCCGTTGTTGTGGACCACATATTGCATTCTGTGCACAGTATGCACAACAGCAGAAAGTAACATGTCTGCAGGAATCTCCCGTACAGTCCGTGATATGTTATCCTTCAACGTAGCCAGGTCCTGGACCACTCCTTGATAGACCTTGGACTTAAGGTAACCCCATAGCCAGAAGTCGCATGGGGTAAGATCAGGCGACCGAGGTGGCCATGCAGTTGGAAAGTAGCGGCTAATGACTCTTTCTGTTGTGAATTTCTGTCGTAGCATCTGTTGCACCCGTACAGCAACGTGTGGAGGGGCTCCATCTTGCATGAAAATGATTTCCCCCAGGCATTGTCTTTGCTGAAGTGCCGGAATGACAAAGCTGTTCAACATGTGGCGATATTTCTCTCCGGTAACAGAACAGGTTTCCGGTCCTGTCGGGGTAATGTTCTCATAGAAGAATGGACCTACGATAAATTCCGCTGTGAACCCACACCAAACAGTTACCTTTGGTGAATGTAAGGGAATTGCTGTGACTGCATGTGGTGGTTTGTCATCCCAAATTCGGCAGTTCTGGGTATTCACAGTTCCATTCAGGTAAAAGTGGGCCTCGTCTCCCCATAAGATTTTCCACGGCCAAGCATCATCCACCTCCATTCTGGCAAGAAAGGTGAGAGCAAAAGTCAATCGCTTATCATGGTCGGGGTACAGTAACTCCTGTACACGGCTGATCTTGTACGGATAGAAGTTGATAATCTTTCGTAAGATTTTCCATACCGTACTGTAAGGCATATCCATATTCCGAGCTACTCCACGAGCGCTAGAGGTGGCAGCAATATTGTCTGGTCCTCTGTCGACAATCGCCGTGGCAACTGCTTCGATTGTATCCTGTGGTACAGGTTTTCGTCCTCTGCCTGACTGAACCTTCAGAGAACCTGTTTTCTCAAACGTCGCAACCATTGCTTTTAGCCCATTAACTGACACGGGACCGTTACCTTTACGCATTTTTTTTTTTTTTTTTTTTTTTTTTTTTGCGTTTCTAAAAGCACGAAGAGCGGCTGACGCGTTGCACTGGTTGAGGTAAAAGAATTTGACCAGTAACGCACGCTCGACTAAAGAAGGAGACATTGCACATAAACTTTCAATCCGATTGATTTGAAACGTAACACATTGCTTTTTAAAACCCTAGCAGCTGGCACTGTGCGAATGGATGTAACGTGAAATTTGAATAAAGAACTTCTTCTTCTGCTCAGCGTACGTGATATTGCAGATCACGAGACTTTATCGGTGTTTATGTAGATTTTACGCTTTTTTAAAAGTGTTGCCATATTGCACTTGAACTAAATCAGAAAATGTGCATAATAAAAGGTAATTTTATTCCATATTAATTTGCTTTTGTTAACACTCTATTTTCTATTACACAGCGCCAAATATTCCTCTAGCAGTGACTTTTGGAACTAATTTGTTTTTTCGCGGAATCCTTCGTCCCCCGTCTTGTTTAATCTTCCTACAAAATGTGGTGTCATTCTCGCAAATAGATCACGCTACAGAACGCTGTGAGCACTGTCGGTTTAATTATGGCTACCCAGTTTATATGTTTCTCAAATTGTGGAAAGGAAAAAAAAAAAAAAAAACAACGGTACCTAGAGCCATCCAGTTTTGAATAATGTAGATCTCCACCCAAGCATGTGCACCTGGAAGTCCAAATTTTAAATTTCAAATTAAATCAAAATCGCAATTACAACCTTGTATTTAGCGTACATATATTAAAACACACAATTGATTTCGAGGGCAACTAAATGTCCTTCCTCATCAGGAGAACGAAATTACTAGAAAGGGGGAAAAGAAGAAAAATAGAGCATCGGCAAAGGAGTCTCAGAAACACATGGTCATTATCAGCACTGCACATGGTCGTAACCAGATTTTGAATCAGAGTTACACTGGCTGCTTACTTTTACTGAGCCAGGCTATCTGATAAAACATATAAAACATAGACTAAAACGCCAAAAAAATCAGCGAAGTAAAAAAATAGGGAGCGAGGGGCAACTGCACCTTTACACGCCAAGTCTGAACCTTGAATAAAAAGTTTGAACCTCGAATCAAATTAAATATTTCCCATTTTATAAAATCGTAATAAGTTTTTTATTAACACGCTCAACGTTTGAAAACAAGCAATGCCAGCAGCGTATGAAATAAGACATTTATATCCTCAGTGTATGAGACTGTCAGCTGGAAATTCTGAAGATACACAGTTTTTAAATATTTTTAGCCCAGGGGAGAGCTTTTTTTCAAGACTCCAATTTTTCAAGAGCCCAAATACTCTTGTAATGTGTATGTGTCTGTAAATGAATAAAATGCCTGTTTGAGTATAATATAAAGGTAATCGTTTGTTATCAGGACCGGATTCAGAAATTTATATATATTAGCAGCTATGTATGCACTCATGTATGCATGTGCATATGTACATACTTATGTATGTATGTGTGCACCTGCACATATATACAAATACATGAGCCTACATACATACATTTCTGAATCCGGTCCCGATAATAGAAGAGCTTTCAATATAAAATCTGAAAGCTTTGATTTTATTTTTTGTTTTCTTTTTAATTTTAGAATTAGTTTTTGAAGTCACTATGTATGTAATATATTATGCATTATACATTATATATTACATACATAGTGATAACAATTTTAATCATGTGGAACAAGAAGGTTGCATCTCCACGCCCCCTCCAACATCTCTTGAAAGTCGATACTAGTTTTTTTGACATAGCATGTTTATCCTTCTGTTTTGGAAATTTAGGAAAGTTTAATATATTATTTTAAAAATATTTTGGAAGTCTAAAAAAGGAACTTTTTTACGTTTCTCTGTTATTGAGAAAAAACTTACTTTTCTAGTTCTGTATATAAATTATATTACTGTTAAGAACTGGGATATAAATACAAATTACTGCTTTTAAAATGTGCAGCATAGGCTGAGACTAATCAGCATGGTATGCTTTGTCAGTGCCCTCTGTTCTTTTAATTCATTCCACTATAGATTTCTTGCAGATTTTAGATACAGCGGGTGACAAGGGTTGTAGAAGTGAAATATGAATGTGAGTGTTTTAAGAACAGTAGTCCAATCCAAAAAATGCAAGTATTATTATTAGATAAGTATTATTGATACCTGCAATAGGTGGTGAAGTTAGACTTTTAAGTCCTATTAAAAAAACTGTAGGTTAAGACTTTTGATTGGCTTTAGGATGTGAAGCCAGCTCTTATACTATCTGTCAAAAGATTTGCTGTTTGATTTCATAAGTGAGGACCAGCACATAAGCCAATGATTGCTTACAGAGTGCTATCCTACAGTGATATAAAGCATATCTTCTGTGGACATTGGAGCAGCGTAAGAACAGGAGTGAGGAATCACACTGTATGTTGTGGAAAACTTATGGATGATGATCTATGAACATGACAGTTGTTATCAGAGGAATATCGTTTATAATAGGGTATATGGTCACTATTGTAAAATTTGGTGAAAAGAGAGTTATCATGTGTTTTTTTTTTTTTTTTTTTTTTTTTTCCCTCTTTGGTGCACTAGCATTTGTGCTTAGAAGTCTGAATCTGAGTTATGAAGTTATAGTATATAATTCCATTCTGCATATTCTGTGGCAGCTGTTTGGAAATGACCCATTTCTCTTTCAAAATGATATGTCTGTTCATAAAGCAAAGATTAATTTATTTGAACAAATGGTATTAATAAATTCAGTTTACCTGTACAAAGCCCTCATTCCAATCCCACTAAAATCTTTGCTGATTGCGAACCAGACCAAAATTCTTGATGTTACCAGCATGGTATGAAAAGAATTGTGCAAAATAGCTTGTGCAGCATTACCCCGATCAGCATTAGCAGTACATAGCTTTTGAGTATTAACTTTAGTGAAATTTTTCTGTCTTCCCTTCCTCTTAAAGATTTGTAAGTTTATCTTGACCAGTCGATTTTCATTCCTGAAATATTATATATGAATATTGCATTGAGAAAAATTGGTTGGTTCTCCAATTAACAAAATATTTATTAGCACTTTTAATACTTAAAAGAATTCAATAAACTTTATGTTGTTGATTATAATTAATAAAAGCTTTTTCTGACATCATATATCTTGGCTACAGAATCATCTTGATTGATTGATTGCTTCCTTGTCAGATATGAATTTTCAGAAATATTCTTAAATAGTTGGCTTTGCCATATACTGTTGTTAACCAAAGAAAAATAATAATTTTTTTTAGAGTCACTCGTTGGTTGGAATCTAAAAGGTATACATCAGATGCAGAACGGGAAGTTCACTGGAAAAACTCATCTACCTCACCTGTTCTTAGCAGAACTAGGTAATGTGTATCACATATTGCATTAAATAAAAAAATAAAATAAAATAAAAAAAAAAAAAAAATTATGAAATGAACCACTTAAAATTTTTTCTTATTTTTTTTTATCTGAGAGGGGGGGAATTATAATTTAAGTTGTAAAAGGTCTAAATTAATACTTAAAATATTTAACATACTCGGATAAATTTTTCTGTAACTTAAGGTATTAATTTTTTTTAAATAAAATTGTTTATGTTAAATTGATTCAGCTGGTGCGCTGTGAATGCTAATTTATTGCATTTGAAGTATTTCTTTCTTTGGAATTAGTGCATAAAATATTCTGTGCCCATAGATAGGAGATGCTTTGTAGATGTGTGTGGAATGAAAATGGTTAGTCCATTTGCTAAAGTGGTTGATTTATTCTGTGAAACTGAATTACATTTGTTTTCTATATTTAAGAGAATGGAGAAAACCAAGCATTCCTTTCTTTATGACATGAGGAATAAAATTTTTCAAACAGCAGATCACTTTTGCAAGTGTGAATTTTCTTCTCTGTGAAAGAAATTTTCTAATCTCCAATTGAATTTGTTGCATCCGTTACTGGTGCACATGATTATTCTTTCTCCATATCAGTAATTATTTGACGTTTTCTATAAATGTCCCAAATTTGATGCTAACCAGTAGCTAAGAAAAATGTCGAATACCACTCTGAAAATTATGAAAGTTGCCTTTTGACCATTCATATGAACTTTGAGTGATTAATTCATGTATTCCATTTAGTGAGAAATGGATGTGTTATTATTGTATAATATTTGCTTTAAAAATCGGAAATAATTGCTGTTCTAGCTGCCATTAAAAAGTTTTGGGCTGGGAGCAAAATCCTAGTTAACAGATAGTAGCAAACATCAGTTCCAGTGTTGAGGTAATATACTATAAAGCTGTTATGGTGGCAATCTCTTGAAGTGACCAGTATTTCTTATTAAACATCCCTTTTCTGAGGCAGCCTCTTCAACAGTAGATCAAAATCATATGGAAGCAGTCATGTTAGGAAGGGTTCATTGTGTTTGAAAGTAAGATTAATATGAGACGAAATTGAACTGAAATGTACTTCTTAGATTAATAAACAGTTTTTTAAACTATCTAGTTTTAAATTTTTATTTTAATAATGTATTTAAATAACATACCATCATTTAAATACTTGTTCTTAATGCATTTTCAGCATTTAAGTTTTTGTCTCCTATTTTAAAATAAATTTATTTTTTAGTTCCAGTCAAAAGGATATAATTTATAATTGTTCACGTCCTGCACCTCTAAATTATGGAAATTCTTCATGGACCTGTATTGCTACACAGATTACTCCAGATCCTTCAGCACCACTTATGCCTCCTTCTGACACTACCACAAATCTTTTGGAAGCGAGAAGAAGGCTTGAGGATGAAAGCAGAGCAAAAATGGGGAAAATAAAGTAAGCCTTTCAACCCAAAGTTACAAGAATGCAGTTGCAAAACATGTAGCTGATTTCTTATGTTATAAAAAATGACATTAAAATTAGTTACTTAATCTGATCAGATTGGATAGTTTAATGAGATCAGATTCGGAAAATTTTACTATCAACATTCCAAGAAGACCTTGGTGCAATTAGCAATTTATAACATTCAGCGATTTTTTATTGTTTTTTGAAAATTCCCAGCTATTTCATTGCATTTACAATTTATGCATTAAGTTAAGAGTTTAAGAAGACATTCATGTTTGTGAAGACACTGCTTGTCACTTTGCTGTTGCTAACTGTATTCTGTTTTTTGTTCATCTGGTGAATAAGATTGTTTGCATGTTTTAGCACTTGCAAAAGCATCGTTTTTTGAAATTAAATAGCTGCTGCTTGTAGACTAGAAAGACAAACGCAAATTTGTTGTTCTTTGTAACTCACACTTGTAGATTAGAGATGTAAATATATACATATTAGTAATACATATTAGTAATTACATATTAGTATAGTCAAATTTCAGTTTAGAGCTGTCAAGAAACTAATGGAAATAATTAAATTGGGGGTATCTTTTAAATTAGGATGTCCCTTATTTTCATATTAAGCATGATATATGCCAATTATTTTGTCTATATTTATTAGTTATCTTGTGCTATTTACATTTGAAGCAGATATGCAACAAAAGCTATCCAGTCACCAACTTGTCTTAGTTAGAAAAAACACCTAAATGATTTACTTCAAAAAAGAAAAAAAATCATTCTTTCAGAAATTTAAATTTAAATTATTAAATGGATTGAAAGTAATAAAAATGAACTAATTGTGGAAAAGTTAGTGATAGCATCTTAATTCGAAGGTTGTTGAATTCACAGATAGCAAAGGAATGGAGAGCTGATAAAAAAGAAATTTCAGCCAAATCACTGAGTAGTGAGGCATTCAGTACATTTTCAAAATTTGGCAGCCACTAAAAAATTGCCATTAAAAAATAAGAAATAATAAGAATTGCTGTATGTTACTTTCTTCATTCCACAAAGTATTCGGTACCTATAAACATATCATTTTGCAGCATTATTATAATTTTATATTGTGACATACTTTATAATCTGATGCCGCTGTAGACCCAAATGGAATATCAGACTTTTGCTGTAATAAACTAATTTTTTTCTCTCTCAAAATGAGGGTAATAAACTAATTTTTAGCATGAAGCTTGGCAGTTGCTGTAGTTTATATTTATCCCCCTTTTTTAATATCTTCTTAAACACTGATAATGATAACAGGACAGAACAGAATCAATCTTACCGATTTTGGTAATAGTTTCTCATATAGTCCATAAGATTTTCTAGTAGGCTCTATGCCAAATAAAATCATGGTTATAAATATTCTGATATTTTCAAATTGTGCTTACATAGAACAATTTTTCTCAGCCTTTTGCTTTTCTTGCTATTTTGAAGATACAAAGAAGCCCACAACTTTGCAAGACTTTTTAGGGGTGAGCATGACTCTGACTTTCTTTTATAAATAATAACTTGTGCCTATTAGAATGGTTGAAAAGTTTCTTGAAAGCATTGAGTGAATAAATTGGCAAAACAAACTTCCTGATTTTAATCCTATGGAAAAAATGAGGGTTATCATTAGAATAGCTGTTGCATGACAAAATCATCTATCTAGAGATCTCAATATTTTGAAGAGCTTATAGTTGAAAACATGGAACGTTTCTCTAAACTTTAATTAACCATCATACGAAATCACACTGAGATATGTGTGTAGAGGGTAGGATAAATGCTGTTTCATACAACTGTCAAAAATCTGCATTTGCTTCTGAAGTATTAACTTATAAAAATGCTTTTGCTTATTATTTCGGTTTTGTGACATTTATATTTCATATTAGTTCTTCTATTTCTTTTTATGTGTTTTGAAATTGTGCTTAAGAAATTTTTTGTTTCTATTTAAGTTTCTATGCATGTCAAGGTAATTTTGGACATGATTACAATTTATTTTGATTTTTTTTTTTTTTTTTTTTTTCCAAGGATGAAATCTAAATTGTGTGAATCAGTAGATGAGAGTTATAGGTCAGTTACCTTTTTAATAGAATTTTTAAAGTTTATTACTGTGATTTCTTTTCTCTTACGATGTTTTTGTTTAATTAGGAGACAAAGTAAAAGGTATCCTAGCAATCCTATGGAAGGACCATCAAGCACTGGGTCCAGTGAATATACAGCTATTGGCTACAGTTATGGTCGACATTCAGTGCCTTATTTATCAAAATTTCGTGGGAAAAATATAACTCTAAGACAATTTAAATCTATTTTATCCAAGAAAGGAAACTTCAGGTATGCTTTTTCCATCAATCTCAGGCCTTGTCAACAATGCCTAAGAAAAATATTTGCATTGTGGTATGGTGTTATATTGTGAATATTTTTTGATTTAAAAAAAAAGGAATGTTTAGTTTAGTTTCAAAACACTTTATTTTTTCTAAATACTTCTTTCCTAAAAAGGCAAAACATTGAGTAAATGTTGTAATTCTGTGAATCACCCCCCCTTTGTAACAAATGAAAACTAAAGGCTGCTATAAGAGTATTATGGTTCTGAACATAATGTCTTAATGGTTAAAAACTCCATAATGCTTCTTAATGGCATTTTTATTATATATGTATGTATATATAAGACTAATTTTTAATTCTTATTGGGTTGTCAAATATACAATGCTGATATAGGTACTGTTCATTCTTCAGAAATATTAAGAAAAAGTCTTGTAGTTATGTTTTTAAACCTGTACATTTTATAACAACTGTTTCTTGTTTTTACAAGTATCATACACTTGTCACGAAAAAATATATGCACCCAGAAGAAATCAAAACCAGTCACGAAACTCGGCGGGAATGTAATCTTGTAAGATATATGCAAATGATTTAAATTTTCATGCCAGTGAGACAAGGCTAAGCGTGCTAGGTGCATATGAGATGTGCAGCTGGGAGACTTTAGAAAGCATGATTGTTCGTACCTATTCAATCCAATCTGTCAACTTAGATGCATGGTATTGTGACTAGAGATACCTCTGAGACATAACCAGTGGCAGTATGAACAGTTGTCAGACTTTGAAAAGGGGTGTATAGTAGGCCTTAGAGAAGCAGGTTTGTTGAACTCGTGTATTGGTCATCACCTCGGTCGGAGCAATATAATAGTTGCTTGGTGTTAGCGACATTGGATCACAGAAGGTCAGGACTTCCTAGGAACACAAATGAGTGTGAGGATCATGCAATCATAAGAGAGGCCACCCCGCACCAACAACATTGTTAGCATCGATTTGATGCCATTAACCACTTCCAGGCATCCAGTGGTATCAAGGGAAACCATTCGGACATGACTGGGCGATGATAGTATATACTACAGATGTCCATTAAGATGCCTACCAGTGACCTCACATCATGGGCAGTGTTGACTGGATTTTGCCAAACTCAAGCAGGCTGGAGTTTGACTGACTGCATGTGATTTTCAGCAATGAATGCTGATTCAGTCTCAGTGCTGATGACTAACGAACGTACGTGTGGAGGTGGTCAGGCCAGCAGTCCAATCCGGCATTTGTTTTCAGTCGGCAGACGGCCACACAAGATGTGATAGTGTGGGGAGCAATTTTTTGGGACACACGATCACCTCTATTTATCCTTCAAGACATTGTGATGACTTGTAGTTATGTTGACAATGTTTTAATGCCGGCTGTACTGCGTATGCTATCAAGTTGTCCAGGCACCATTTATCAGCCAGACAACGCTCGCCAACATACTGCACGACTCTCCCAACAGTATCTTCAAGGATACCAGGTACTCCATTTGTCTGCCAGGCCGCTAGTCCTCTCGTCAATAGAGCACATTTGGGACATGCTTGGAAGGCAACTGCATCTGTTCCGAAATATTGGTGAATTAACTGCCCAGTTTCAAAGGTTATGGCATGATCTTCCACAGGGAGTCATAGGATACCTACTTGATTCGATGACATACTGTGGTGGCTATACTACTTACTGATCTGCAAACATTTTCATGCCATAAGTTATTAATTAAATGATCTTTTGTTCTGAATTTATAATCATTTGTTTCTCTCCTCATATACTACATATATGGTAAGTTTTCTAATAGTAGTTCATTTCATTCTGGGTGCATATATTTTTTTGTGACAGAGTGTATTTCAACAGAAACATACATTTTGACTATTTTTGAATCTACATGGATGATTTTTTTTTGTCATGATATCTCTAAGTATGGACAGAATAAAGGATTCTCCCCCCAAAAAAAACAGTGAAATGGATTCAGAAGTTCCCCCGCCCCAAATGTCTGTATATAGACATATGTGTGTATCTCGCATTATTATAAACTGATAAGCTGTAAAACATTACAATTTTGTATATGGGACTGCTGTAACATATACCTCATTTTTTTATTGCAATTGATAGTGCAAAACATCTATCTATATATATAAATATATATATTACTGTGAAATATATGTTACCGTTATATATATGTTACTGTGAAAGACCAAAATTGGAGAATGTCGACATTCTCTAGTGAATGCATACCAAATGCATTATCAATGCATACGAAATGTGATGCTGAAAGGCTGGATATTTAGTTACATTTGTACTATCACCGGTATATGTCCACAAGGACAAATATGCTCTGGTGGAGGTTGAAACAAGAAGTTGAGAAGACAGATCTAGAGGCATTCTAAAAGTGAGGGATTCTTGTGCAATTCAGTGTCATAACACTTAAGTTGTTGCAATAAATCAGATTGTATAACATCAATTACATAATTAAGTAACTTTATTTTTGGTGTTTTCTTTCCTCATTCAGAATATACTATTCGGTTTAAGTTCAGGAGTTTATTTACATGTGCTGTTACTTAGGCATTCTCCTGTTCTGACATACGTCATAATATGCTTCAATAATAAAGTATGATTTACAAGCGCAGCAAAAGTATTTTTATTTAACATTCACAGTCAGTGCATGGCGAATATCAACATTTGCTGGTGTAAGTGAGAAATACGGATATTTTGCTAATATTTTGGACATAAACCTCTTTGAATGTTGACATTGACCAGATTTTGGTTTTTCATGGTAACAAATATATATACAGGGGTTGGACAAAAATATGGAAACACCTTTAAAAAAACATGTTTCTTTGCTTAATATGGTGTAGGAAACCCGTTGGCATCCAAAACAGCTTGCAGTCTTCTCGGAATGGATAAAACAGTTCCTGTATGTTGCCATGGGAATATTATACCATTCTTCCTGCAAAACGGTGGCAGTTCAGATAACGATGTTGGCGGTGGATAACGAGAACGCACTTCCGTTCCTATGTAGACTACAAGGTTCGATAATATTCAGGTCTGGTGCTGTGGTGGCCAGGGGAATGGGACAACTCATCCTCCTCATGCTCAGAAAACCAGTCCTGGACAATGTGAGCTGTGTGAACAGGGGCTTTGTCGTCTTGGAAGACACCATCACCATCGAGGAACAAGTTTGTACCATGGGATGAACTTGATCGGCCAAATGTTCACATAAGTCTTGGCAGTCATGTGCCCTGACACAGTTATCATGGGGCTAGCAGAGAACCACGATATGGCTGCCCAAACCATAACAGAACCCCGCCATGTTTCACTCTTGGCAACTAGCAATCTGTATTATAGGCTTGAGATGGCGTTCTCCAGACGTAAACGCGGTCAGAAGTGGGAAACAATGTGAAAGAAGACTCATCAGACCATATTACTTGCTTCCACTGCTCTATAGTCCAGGCTTTATGACTTAAACACCACCTTTTCCTGTTACGGGCATTAGCATCACTGATGAGTGGCTTCTCAATTGCAGCACGGCCAGCAATTCCCTGTTTATGAAGCTTCCTTCTAATTCTTCTTCTGTTTATGAAGCTTCCTTCCACTGTATGTATGTGTGTGTGTGTATGTGTGCATATGTGTATACACACACGCTATATATGTATATACACATAATGGCTTACCTGGCTTCAAGAGCCCTTATCTGGCCTTTATTTTTGAAGTCATTGGTCAAAGTACCAATTAAAGTGTTTTAAATAACAAAAATATTTGTTTTGGCGATGGAAAATTTTTAAAAAATAATTAATTTTCGACAATGAACGAAATCTAACCTTTAAAGTGGTCTCACAATTGCTAATATTTGGGAAAGTTTTAAACCTGTTGTGAAAAAGTAAAATTAAAAGCAGTTTTACTCTTATGTGACAAAAAAATGACAGTGATGTTTAATTTTAAAATTTGCAAATTTGGATGCTATTTTTAACTTAAAGGGTTAATTAAGTTAGAATAAGTTTAAAAAGTAATGTTAAATGAAGTGCAGCAAAATATATGTATAAATTAATAAGCCATTCAAGAAAGTTGTGTCCACATCAGATTTTTTAATATAATTTCTTTTAATAAAGTAATGAAAAAAGATTTTTTAAAAAATAATTGCCTTTCTAAAACAATGTAAAGTGGCATTGGCAGAATTTTGCATTCCCTGTTACATTGAGGTATGCTTAGAATGAAAGGAGCAGTTTTTGTAATAAAATCACATACATAGTTTTGGCATTAAGTTTCAGGATTACTGTAGCTATGAGGGAATTTAAAAGCTTTCCAGCAAACTGTGGTTATAAATAATAATTTTCCAGAAATTTTGATTATAATACCAAATCTTAAAAACAATTTTGAATTTGCTAACTAAAATACTCTTGAAAATTTCACTGTAATATTAAGTTATAGTTTTCTTAGCATGGCCCCCCCCCCCAAAAAAAAATATTGTATAGGAAATGCGTTTTTCTCCTGCTTTTCTCAAAAGATGGCAACTAAAATTAATTTCATGCTTTAAAATCTGAATTACGTCCAAAGGGGCTTTTTTTTTTAACGTTTTGTGTGTTACCTTTATTTATTAAATAATGTTCTTTGCACTTATAAACCATAAAATTCAGTTCAATAGCAATGTCGCAAAATAATTTTAAAATGAGCATATCTTTAGAATTTCCGATACACAGTCTCATGCGCTGGAGATAAAAATGTCTCTCCCCCCTTAGAGTATTGCCATTGCTCGCTTTTAAATTGTTGAGTTTGTTAGTCAAAAATTCATTAAAAGTTTTACGAAATATGAAATCGATAATAAAACAAATTCCAAATTTCAAATTTGGTCTTCCTCATGCCCATATTCGCAGCAGGATTACTTCATTTAAAATTCAATTGCTCTATGTACTGTTGTTTTATCAAAGTGTGAGAAATATACATACATTTATGCAGATTTTTCATCATTTAATTTCTTCAAATATAATGCAGGACTGTAACATTTGGTGGCAACAGTTTGAAAAGTAATTCACTGTTTATAGTGATTCAATACAAAATCTCAAAATGAAAACAGTAGTCCTTCAGTGACAAAGCCCCTTTGCACTAAATTCAATCAGAGCGAAATCCAGAGGTTAGATGATTGGGTCTGAGTGTACCCATGCATTGTCATTCAGGAAGAAATGATTGCTGCATTCTTATAGGTATGGATTCATGTAATGATTCTTCCTGAGCAGGTAATCAAGGACTTCCATATAGAAGGCACAGTTAATTTTCTTTACAGTTTCCATAGAATGTCTATTGATCCCGTGAGTCATCACCAGAATCTTCTCTTCCTTTATGAAATTAAGCATATCATCCAGACATATTACAATAGGATAGGGCACTGTTACACATTGTTTCTATCATAACCAGGATGCCGTTAATTACCAATCCTCAAAATGGCTCAGGTCTTTGTCCTGAATCTGTATATTCCCTGTAAGAAATAAAAGTCATAGCTGCAATTTAACATCCTGGAACTTGAGTTTGTATGCCATCAGTGAAGTTTATTAAACTCGGATTGTAAGTTCAGTGTGAGAATAGGAAAGAATCAGTAAATAATGAAACTGTTTGAGAATTGCTTTGGAATATTACTACACTGTTGGCCTTTAAAATTGCAACACCAGGAAGGAATAATCTGAGGAATATCAGAAGTACATGAATGGAAGAAGAGGTTGGGATATGCAAATGATTAGGATTTCAGCGCATTTAGATGATGCAGGAGGGAGAAACAACGTATGAAGCACTGCATAAAAGAAAAGTTGTGTACTGGATTTCTCATTCAGAAAGCACTTTGTAGGGTCGGAGTTTGTGCAGAATATTGTATTATGCCTCAAATAATAATAAGAAATGCTTACCAGCAAATGTTAGAATTCAATAGAGGCAGAATCGTTGCCTTTCGAGAGTGTGGATAATCGTTCCATTATATCGCCCATCACGCTAATTGCCACCCAACCACTGTCATGCAAATATGGAACCAGTGGGTTGCTGAGGGTCATACTGAATAGCATACAGGATCTCAACACCTTCCCATGACTAATGCCCGAGAGGAAGATATAATTATGAGATCAGCCCTGCAAAACCATACAACCACATAATGGACCATTAGTAAAAAAAAGGACTTGTTTGTAGTGCGCCCGGTATCCGCTCGTGCGGTGTGTCGACGTTTGCAGCAACGTGAACTATGAGCACGGCGACCATTACTTCGGCTTCCTATGAGAATGCAGCATAAAGGGAGACAGTGACCCTGATGTACCAAATGACATAGTTGTATACAGGACTGGCACAATGTTCTGTTTTCAGATGAGTTCCGGTTTTGCATGCAGTATTCTGATGGCCGTATATGTGTCTAGAGGCTCCGAGGAGACTGCATGTCGCCTGCTTGTATTTGATTCCTACATAGGGGCTCTGCAACTGGTGTGATGGTTTGGACAGCCATTGGATATGCTCTAGTTTGGATCACTATTTTAATTAAATGTATTTCTTTGATAATAACATCCATTTAAAATTTGTTTTTAAGTTAATTGAATATTGTAACATATATACTGGGAGGCTGTACTTCTGTGCAGTTATTCAAATAATAAATAACAGCAAAGTTAACAAATCAATTTACAAAAAATAAACAAAGTAGCTTCTGGCCCATTTCATTTCACTCAAAATTACAGAATTGATTTTCGGCCAAATGTATTCTTTGGTCTTAAAAAAATTAATTTCATAAAACTAGCATCTGAAACATTATATGTGACTGAAAGTAAATGTTAAAAATATATATATATATTATTAATTAGTAAAATGTGATTTGTGAAATTATTTTTCTTCTAAAATTACGTGCTGATTTTATGTTTTAATGTTTATTTTTTAGGTATTTTTTCAAGAAAGCCAATGATGATTTTGGCACAGGAGTAGTCTTTGAGGAAATTACTGAAGACCATGATATTCTTCCACTCTGGGAAGGAAAAGTATTTTGTGTTATTGAGTCAGAGGATAATAATTCAACCATGTAATTAGATAACATTAGTGAAATGGTTGAATTAGATAATATAAGTTAAATTTTTATAGCACTGTGATTAACTCTGAGAAATTCTCAAGTTTCAAGGATTTTATGAAGATTATGAACTTATGAGTGAGAGACAATTGCCAAAAAAACTGCAGTTAAAAAATAAACAATACAGGAGCTTACATTCATCATATTTTCAGACATCATCTTTCATTATTATGTTCCTGTTTGCTATTTGTGTGACTTCAAAAAATAGACAAGAAATATAGCAAATTCATAAGTTTTTTGTATCTATATGTATTATAATATAAATTTGAAATGTGCTTAGAACAAGTCTGTTTTTATATACAAAATATTTAGTACAAATATAAGATGTGAGATTATTTGCAATTGCCCCGTGTAAATTTCATGGATATTCCCCCCCCCCAAATCTTACTGCTCTCTCTCTCTCTCACTTTGTTTTTAAATCAATAGTTATCTTAGATATGCATAACAAATAAGAAAACAGTACAAAAAAGAAATTTTCAAATATTTATTTGAAAATTATTAAAGTTTATGTAAATGTGCAATGTATAGTTGAGTTTTTATTTTTATCTTCCGAGATAAAAGCAAGAAGTTTATTATAAAGCTCAACAAGTTTTTAAATACAATCATGTTTAAAACATTTTAAATGAAGTTGAATTTGTTTGTGCTGTTTATATCAGATTTGTTTGCGATTAATTTTCTGTTAATGGGAGAAACTATTAGCTTTTTTAAAGATTATATATGTAAAGTTTTTCAAGTACTCATTATAGAGACAAGGCTAAAATTAAGGGTTCTTATCATAAGTTTAGGATAGTCATTTTTCCTGCTGGAGGATAATTTTGTTTTTCTTGCAAATAAATTCTCCCATTTTAATGTTCAGGAAAATGGAATTACTATTTTTAATTATGGAAGTTTATGGCTGCTGATTTGCTTGCACACAGTTACAATTTCCATTGAGTAAATGTTCAGCTAGGTACTTGCTTGAAAAACTGCAGAATACATTATCAAGAATACTTATATTTTAGTTGCATTTAATTTTATCAGAAAAAACGTTTAAAAAAATGGGAGCCGTCAAACATTTAATTGAGGATAACTTAAATGTGTTGTTTAACATAGGATAATTTAAACAGCATATTAAAAAAAGATAGAAGTTATGGATTTGCATAAATACAAACTTTTTCCCCTTGTACAGAAATTTAAAAGTTGAATGCATTTATACATGATTTTTAAAACTGGCATTTACTATTTATTGTGCATTAAGTTTATTGGTTAAGTTTTTTAGAGAGGTTTTAATTTTTTGCATCCTTAATACCTTCACCATGATTAACACATTGAACTATGCATTGTATAATATGGGAGATTTAGAGGTTCTCATTATCATAATCAAAAACAAATATGCATATAACTAAAAGGGCATTTCTTGGGCTGAAAAAAAGAGCTTTCTGACTGGAAGTTTGATTTTCTTTAATCCCTTCAATCTTTAAAATTGTTTATAAATGTATCACAAATAAGATTAGTTATAATTTTATGAAGTTTAAGGGTTAAAATATTTTCAACCTAGTTTACTGACATCATTATTCATGTAGTCCTCCCATAAATTGATATGATCATAGCTCAGTCCTTCCTAAAATTTTATGCATCATCATGAGTATACCATGATGATGCATAAATACTACCAGAATGAATTATATAGTGTTGCAATTTGTAATAATTAAAGGAGAATAAAATGAAATGTTGCTGATTGCCTTTTGAAATTTTTTAAGATTTAAATATGGTGTTATTCTAGTATGATATAATTTCTTTGAGGGGTTAAGCTTAAAATTAGTGCCTTCTGAATTTAAAAGTGCCTTTCATCTCCCAATCATCATCTCAAAATAAAGAGCATTGTGTATTCTAAATTTTAAAATAAATTCTTGGTCCACTGTATGTAAATTTTATTATTTTTAACTTATTTGGATCGGCCTTTATTTTGTTAAAGTGCTGTGAAATATAGGCTGCCCTTAAAAATCAGTGCATTTCACAAATTAATTTTTTAATTAATAAATTAAAAGACAATTAGCACAAAAATATGTAAAATTATGTAATTTCACAATTAATGCATAAATATTTTTCTGTCAATTATATCTATTAACATAATATATCTAACTATCTAAAGATCCTACTAAATGTCGAAGAGCTCTGAATTTCCTTCCATCATAATAGCTTTAATGAATCTCGGTAATCTTTGCTGTAAATCAACAATATTTTTGATTGGTTGAAATGCAGTACAAATGTTCATTGACCTGTATATAACTGTTACAAAAAGTTTTTGATATTTGTAACCCTATAATACTAATTTTAACCATTGACTTATTTTATCTAATGATTATCTAAAAAAGATCTTTCATAGAAAGAAATATTCTTAATTCAGACTTCATAAATTGCATGTTCAGAAGAAACATAGTGAAATCCAAGATGTGAATTTATTCTTTTCTTTACTGCTCTTTTGAAAAATTTTAATACATAAAATATTAAGTAAATTTGTGTATATATTAGTTTTCTAAGTGAGCTTGGATTTTATAGATTAATATTATAAGCATATTTCTATACTATGAACCAGACATCTTAATACTTCAGACTTATCAGTTATATGTTCATGTGGAAATTTTAAGGCTGCATTATTTCTATAATCTCAACAAAGTATATGTTCTATAAATTCAGATAGAATTTACTCATGAAATTTTTGTGAATTAATTTGTGCATGGTTGTGTATTTTAAATTTAAAATATAGTAATTCTTAATTCTAATAAAAAGCTGAGTTTTTCAAATTGTGCTTCTCTAAGCGCACTTTTCTTTGACATGATTATAAGGGGTGCTTAATCTACAAACTGTATAGTTTCTGCTACTTAATTGTATAAGAAAATATTAAATTTTTTACTAGTCTTTGTGTAAAGAGAAGCACATTGTTGCCATGCAAAGATGCTTATTTATTACTGTATAAAATTCATTACATGTTTTCATCACCCTTTTTTGCGTGGCAACAGTGGAACTTCTGTTAAATGAGATATTTATTTGAAAATGTGAGATATATTGATTTTTATGGATGGATTGCAGTTGTTGTTTCTTTGGAACTAGACACTGAATTTTAAACTGCCACATTAGGATTTAGTGTTAACAGAAATATTTAAATTGGTTCTTCATGGAACAGGGTATCGCTTAGTTACACTGAAAATTTTTTTGCAAGCTTATGCATGGAGGTAAAAACAATGAAATACATTCCGATGACCTCAGAAATCACTTGAGTTATGCAAACAAGGTCATTCTTCCTTTTCTTCTCTTGCGGAATGTATCTCATTTTTAGAATGAGGATGTGTTATGTGCAATTTTGTGAAGGAGCAACATACCAATAAAATTTCAAATGCAAGAAATAGTATTTAAAAAATGAAACAAATATAAATTAAAATTAAAATTTATTTTGTTTCCTAATCTGTAGGCTATAATTTGTAAATAATTCTAATTAATTGCAGTTGTGTTGTCGGTGTTATTTCTACACTTCAGAGTAGGAATGATATAAATTTAAAACCTGCCAAGATGCTTATGCTCCATGAATTTTCATATGCTTTTTAATTCTGGGGATGCATGTTAACTTAAAAGCATGAGAACACATTAAATTGGGGGGGGGGATAGAGTAAAAAAAAAATTTGAAAGGTTTCAGATTTTAAATTACATCTGAAGGGGCATTTTTTAAACATTTTTTCTGTTACCTTTATTTATTAAATATCACATTCGTCACACTTAAACCATAAAATTCAGTTCAAGAGCAATATCGCAAAATAGTTTTAAATTGAGCATATCTTTAGAGTTTCTGATATGCAGGCTCACACGCAGGAGGTAAAAATGTTTTTTCTGAACAACGTTGCCATTACTCGCTTTGAAATCCTTGAGTTTGTTAATCAAAAATTCATTAAAGATTTACAAAATATAAAATTGGTAATAAAACAAATTTCAAATTTGAGCTTCCATATTCGCACTAGTGTTATATCATTCAAAATTCAATAGCTCTGTGTACCGTTGTTTTTTCACAATGCAAGAAATGCATACATTTACACAGATTTTTCATTATTTAATTTCTTCAAATATAATGCAGGACTCTTACATTTGGTGGCAACAGTTTGAAAAGTGAAACTGACGTTTTTAGTGAACCAACGCAAAATCAGTCGCAAAACGAAAACGATAGTCCTTCAGGGCCCCTTTGGACTAAAAAAGTAAAATTTAACATAAATCATACGGGTAAATTGACATTATAAAAAAATGAAATTCTGAATTCGGCAATAAATAAAAGCTTGACCATAAATGGTTACTCAAAGATGCAACATTAGCAAAAAGTGAAAGATAACCATTTTTGATGGTTTTTAACTCAGGATATCTTATTCTAAAATCATGCCATTTAAATCTGTAGAAAGTTCTTTGCTGTATTTTGATTTAATTCTAATCATTGGAGTTTTTAAATGTTCATTAGTTTTTTTTAAAAAACTTTTTAGCAGAAGTTGTGTTAGAATATTATAATTGTTTTCGTAATGGAATGTTGAAGTACATTTTCAGAAAACATTTTTAAGCTTAGATGAACACTGAAAATTTATTTTATTATTAGACAAGATTTCTTGTTAAACTTATGACCCCCCCCTTAAATTGATTAAGAATTACTTCTGAGTAAGTTGCATGCAGACAATTATATCTATTTGCATTAAGCTTTATTGCATTCTTGAAACTACCTATCAAATGGAAATACAGTATAATGGATAGAATTTCAGTTGGAGTTACATTGGCTTTGACAATGACTGATGTTATTTGAAGCCAAAATTTTAATACTGAGTGAACTCCATATATTTCAAAAACCAAGTCTGTTATTCTAGAATATTTAAGATAGCTTATGTTAGCAGCAAGATATTTTTCAAAAGATTAATATAAAGTAGTATGTACTTGTCTCAGATATCGTAATACTTAGTAGTAGTAGCAAATGAAGTGTAAAACAGAAAAGAAAATTGTATTCCCAAGAAAGTTAGTCTTGATAGAGACAAACTGTTTACAAAATAGATGTGAATTTGTACAAATAACCTGAATGGCTTTAAAACAAATATTGATAGAACTTTAAGCATTTTTTTTTACAAAGTAGATGACAGTACCCCCCCCCAAAAAAAGTAAACAAATATTACTACTACTTGGAGCAGCATATAAAATATGTGTTACATGATCATTGTTCTTATTGAATTGTTATACCATTATTTCCAATCATTAATAGCAGTAACATTCTTAATAAACTTATATTTTAAGTATAAAATTATTTTTAGAAGTTTGAAGTTACTAATTAGCTAGTATTTTATGCCTTTTTAAAAATCAGTAGTCTTGTAAAATATGGTGGTATAGATATATGTTAAACAAATTCAAAATATGGAGACACTATAATATAAACCACTTTTTACATTTAAACCACGTAATGATAAGTTTGTTATTAATTGTTTTCTCAATAACTGCAGTTTTGTCACATTCTTAAAAATGCATATACATTACTTAGTACATATAAAAATCATTCAGTTACTGTCACTGATAGTTCATCATCAACTTTGTTGCAGTAGCTACATTTTCATTGAATTTGTATGTATTTTGCATCTTAATATACAAATACTAATACAACCTTAATAAAGTATTTCCAAAAATACTTTTATCTTAAATTTTTAAAATATTATTAGTTTTAATAAAAGTTTTAAGAAATTCAAATTTCTTTTAATACATCTTAATAAGCTGATTTATTTCTCTTCTGAGTATTTCTGTGTAAAAAGAAATATTTGTGTAGACTATGTTAAATATTTATACTGTTTATTCACAAATCCCTATGTGGCAGTAATATCTCGTACATAATGTGAGCTAGCTGTGTCTTTTTTTAGTGTATGGGTCTGTTTCAAAGACACAAGACTTCTGTTAAAGGGTCTTTGGTCATTTAAAGTAGTTATGTACACTTGTTTTAGTTTGCAGTTACAATCATTATTTATGCAGGGATTTCATTGTATTTTTTGATTGTTAACCTGTTTAAATGTTAATCTAATGTAAATATTAAAATGCATGTAACAGATTATTTTCTATAGTATAGATTTCAAAACTAAAAAAGAATATGTGAAGATATTTTTAATAAATCATATCATGTAATTATTCAATTTGTAAATAAAATTTGCTTTTTTAATTGTTCATCTCTGTGTGCTTTTTTAGACAGCAAATTAAATTGTGCAAGAAGAATGTTTTAACAGTTAAAAAAATTCTTTAATTATTACAAATTTTTATTATTAAAAATTCTTTTTTAATTAATTATAAGAACGAAGTCTGTTTTTCAAATTAAGCTGTTCAAGATGAGAGAGAATTATGATGTTTTCTTTTCTTTTTGACTACACAGTGTTTCTATTTGAGATACATCTCAAGAATAAGATGTTTTAATGAAAAACAATCAAGGAGTGAATGGCAAACTTAGGTTATTTTCACCTATTAGTAATGTTTTCATTACTAATAGGTGAATTCTTTTTGAATCTGAAGGGAGGAAATTCAAAAAGAAGACTCCAACTACTACGGATTCTTTGTAGTTTTTTTTTTTTTTCCCCCTACGGAAATTCATGAAAAACTATGAGCTGTGAAAAGTAAGGAAAAAACTATGGATTTTACAGAAACAGAGTAGGAGAAGCAGTACGCAAAACAGATCCAACTAATGCATCTGATGATTGGCTGAATACTCGTGTCATCATATATCACGTTGAGTACAAAACTGGTTTTGAATAATAGCCAATCATAGATCAGTAACTCCAACCGTTTATGACAATAGTTCCGTTCCCCCACAACATCTGTCTACTGTGTCTGTCTCCCAGGTTTGTTGCCGCTGCGTGTTTAGCTTGCTTTCAGCTCCATTGTTTGGATTATGGCGAGAGCTTAGCGTGTGTCTTGTATGGGTGTATTAAATACAAAGTATTGCCTACTGTAATGCTTGCTGTCTTAATAATACCTCATTCAAATACAGCTTGTGAAAGAATTTTTTCTATTGTTAAAAAAAATCAGACTGAATTTCGACCAAATTTAGGTCTTAAAATTCTTGAAGCAATTTTGATTGAAAAAATAAGTATGCAGGCAAATGAACTGTATTATAAAAGAAACATTCTCAAAATCAGAACTTAAGCTTACTAAAAGCATGCTACATATTAATCTTTGCATTCGTAAATTATAAGTATTTTTTTAATACTTATATGTATTACTCTTGGTTATTTAAATTTTATTTCTGTGCGGATATCAAATCCAGAATAAAGATATATGATTTATGGATTCTAATTTTTTCTTTGATTAGTAGTGATTTAAAATACTTGTTTTTTTTTTTTTTTTTTTCCTTCATATAATAGATTTAGTGGTATACGTGAGGTTTGAAGAGTTAAATGAAAACTTCTAATTAAATTTGCATATAATTTACAAGGCATATTTTTAATTATTCAGTTTTATATGTATTATATGGATTTTAAATGTAACAAAATTGATTACAATTAATGATTAATTAAAAGTTAATGAATGGTTAATTACAACATGTGTTACGAACACATTTTCAAAGTTGTGAAAATGTCGTTCGCGCGTTGACTACTGACAAGTTCTGCTGCAGGTTGGAGTCTATGCTAATACTGGAAAAAACATTAAATAGAAGGAAAACAAAGAAAGCAGTGTAGTAGATGGATGCTTACTAATTCTTTCCCAATTCCTGTCTTCTTTTCTTTGTAACTAGCCTGCATATTTATGGTGAAATGCCGTTGTAGCAATTTCCAGTACAGAGATTAGATTGTTTTATGTTCTGGATTTTGCTGGGGACTTGTCGTAGAGGGCTCAATATTGTTTTGTCGTAGGACTATTTATCAAAATGTCCTGCCAGAAAGGTTACCTATTTGAAGACTGCATTAAGACAATTATGGATTTATTGTCGCCGTCTTCCAACTGGTTTTTCATGACTAGTCACACTATGGATCTCGATCAGCCACTGTTGAAGTTGTGACTTGTTTTGTGTGACCAGATTAACCAGCTCATATTTTGCTTTGAGCCTGAAAGAATATCAGCAGCTTTCTGTGCAGACAGTGAATTGGTGTTTCTATGTAATTATCCTTTCCAATGACATATAGTGATGTCATATTTTAGGAGTCTCGGTATCCACATGGCTAGCTGGCTTTCAGGATTCCTAAAATTTAAGAGCCAGTCAACAATGTATGATCTTGTGTTGAGCAGGAATTTTCTTCCATAGAAGTAATGGGAGAAATGTTCTATGGCTTTAACTATGGTGAGAAACTTTTGTGGTGACGCAGTAATTTTTCTCCAGTTTAGATAGACACTTGCTCTAGTATTTTATTATTTTAGATAGACTTCCTTCAATTTCTGAAGCACTTTTCTAATATTTTCTAAATGCTCTTTAAAATGTTTTCAGATGATAATCATGTCATCCAGGTATATCAGACAAGCTACGTAATCCAAACAGCATCACCTCAAACTGTAAAGTCCTTGTAAATACCATCTTTTTTCGGTCATCAGGGTCTATCTCTGCCCACCAATATCCACTCTTTAAATCAAGCATCGGAAACCACTTCCTTCCAGGTAAAAGTGTCCAGAATGTTGTCGATTCTAGGAAGGAGGTAGCTGTCTTTCTTCTTAATGTCATTCAACCGGTGGTAGTTAATGCAAAATCTAGTTGAACCATCTTTCTTTCTGACCAGGACAATGAGAGAAACCCAAGGATTTGCGAAAGGCTCAATAACGTTGCCTTCTTGCATGTCCTTTAGAAGTTTTCATACATCTTCCTGTTTACCAATTGGTGGACATCTTGGATATTGCTTGATTGATGGATGATCTTTCGTATCAGTTCTATGCTGAGCCAAACTAGTTTGACCCACATCAGAAGATGTACAGAAGAAAACATTTTGAAACTCTTGAATAACACCACATTCGGTAATACTTCTGTCATCATCACTTAGATGTGCATTCTGCAATGCTCTTTGAAGATACAGGTCGTGGAGGACTACTGGTTCATTTAACACAGGTCACTGGTTAAGTGATAAGGAGCATGGCGAGCACTTCACCTTATCACTTATGTTGGCAACTTTCACCAGGATGACGGTTCTCAATAAGTCAACTAGTATCGAGACTACTGGTACTCATTTTGGGCTGTTACTGTTCTTAACATATTCTATTACGCATGGATTTTATTTCATCTTTAATTGAAAACAGGATTATATCCTCAGAGGCAGAATGCAGTTCATTATTATAAAGACCAAAGAAAAATTGTATTTTCTTAAAATGTCTAATCCAAGTATGCAAGGGTGTATAACATCTGCCACATATGCTGTGTGAGGTAGGTGGAACTTCTAAATGTTAATGTTTAATTATCTGTCAATGTTGATTTTATCGCCAGACACAATCTAGAGGGTAATGCAGGGTGGCATTCAGATGAATTTGCCTTCCGGGTGTTGAGCCAGACCCATTCAGATGATTAGCTCTTGTATTGCCTTCTGGTTGTTGAGCCAGATCTATTCAGATGATTGGCTCTTGTATTGTCTTCTAGTTGTTGAGCCAGATCTATTCAGATGATTAGCTCTTGTATCAATGATCATACTGCAAAGAAATCGATTAATATGACCCATGATGAAAAGCTCATTATTGCCACCACTCCTTGCAGAAATCTGAAGTGTTTTAAAATGGGGGCTTCTCAATATCTGGTGCTCTCTGCCCCACAAGATGACCTCTAAATAGTTTCTCTCCTCGTTGTTGGGAACAGTCTCAGCTTCCATGCTTTGGAGATTTCTGCAGTTCATTCGTATGCCACCTTCAGCATCGCAGTTCCAACGTTTCAAAGTCAGTTTATTACCACTCATTTCCAAGCACTGATACCTTGAGCCAGTTTGCCTGGTTAAATTATCTATATGAACAGTCACTTGATCCCCTGGCTCCTAGATTTGAACAGCTCTGATTAGGTGGCAGTTTCTTTGAGTTGCTTGATGGGGTTCCTGTAATTTTATGGCATACAATAAAGCATTACATCCTTGATAAAGGCATTCACGGGGCTTTCTGTATCTCAGTATTCCGGATGACATCAATGAAGTAGTGCAGAGACAGGATTTCTTCTTGTTTCAGTTGGGCAATTCGAAAAGGTGAGATGAAACAGCCTTTCATCATCCATGGGGAGCTCCTGGAGTGTTTCCGTGGGCTTCTGGATACGAGATTTTAACTGAACTGCCTGCTACAGTCTTTTAACCATACCACATTAGAGATTTGGCAGGAGGTCTTTCCATCATAAGTGGGGGAGTGGGGATGGCATGTATAAAATGAAAGTATCAGAATTTTGACCAGCTGTCATTATGGATGTCTTCAAGCTGTTAACTTCCTTGGTGACAGCAGGAGAAACTCTATCATCATAGATTTGTTGTGGGACTGGAGTTCTTTCCTTTTTTTAAACGTTCTTCGATCTGTTGTTTGACAGCAGAAACTCTCTTCAGATTTTCCAACTGTATATTCAAGTGTGTATATTCTGCCTTCGATAGCCTTGAATATGTTTTCCATTATGGCAATAATTTCTTTTTTCATTTACTCTTGACCTACTTTCATGTTTTCTTTAATAGATTCTTCACCGACATTCATCTTTTCTTTAAATGCAGTGAAGGCTGCCAGCAGCCGTCTGTTGCTCCTCTATCGCTCTTCTCACCATCATTTAATCCCACTTCTGACACCAAAAACTGTTGTGTGAGTACAGTTTCATAATGGATTGAATGAACACAGAACCAATGATAGCTTGATCACATTTATTTTAACAAAAACACTCTACAGTTCTAGAACATTCTACAAAAGTACTCTTACAACTCCTCTCAATATCACAGAGTACGATAAGTAGTTACACTTCAAACTACAAAGAACATTAAACACTGCACAATGCAAAGCACATCTAAAAGGCAAAGCTCTCACAAGATTTTGGTATTCTAATTTAAAAACTGGGAACTCATGCTCTCTCTGGGCTTGTATAATTTTGCCCTGGTCATCGAGACATCTACCTTCCATTTCTTGGAGTTAGTAGAAGGTATACATGGTTAAGTTACATATACGAATCAGTTATAGTACTAATTAGTTACACAGGAACTGGACCAAAATGTTGCCAAGTTTGGCAACAAAAATTAGTCACCAAAACCATTGCCAACCAAGCCATGTACCACAATGTTAAATAATCTTGCCCTTGTAACCCTATTTTTTCGGGAATGCTTCATTTTTTCCCCACGCATTTAATGTTACATTATACAAAAGAAGTTCACATATAATTTCACAAAAATTATTTACATATATACAGAACTTTGGAAAAATACTTTCATAGGGTCCCCATAAATTTTACCGCCAGATGCCCCAAATAGGCTTAATGCATCCCTCCACAGAGGACAACTTTTTAAATTAATCTGCCAGAAGAATTTTGATAAATTCTAGTGTGACAGAAATAATAAAAATATGAAAATAAAGGTAACAATCACCATTTATTATATTACTTATGATTAGAATCTTGACAAATCACAGTTTGACTTTTGAAAATGTGTTTATTTCTACGTTCATTTAAAAGTGACGACCACCTCAAGAACTGCTGTATTACTTTAACGTTTATTACAGACAACTCTATTGAGGCTAATTTTTACTTAGCTTTTTTACACTCATTTTATTGGGATCAGAAATGAAGAATATATTTTGGTTTGGGAAAAAAAAGAAGGGTTCTTCGATGATATTTATTAACAGCCCTTTCAAATGTAACACTCACTGTAATGTAATGTGGTAGCTGACCTACCAGTTATATGTAGTTTGCCATAATCTTTGTAAATTGCATCTAGTAATTTACAAGTACAAATAATATAAATTATATCCTGCCATAACCTGGAATTCTGCTGTTACAATTATCTCATTTGGCTAACGATATCATCAGAACAAGTCCATGAAGTTTATTGCAGCTAGGTGCACACGATTAAATCTGTAAGAGGTCTTAGGCACTCTAAGAGTGACTTTTATAGAGCAGATGAAATTTTGAAAATTTTTTGCATCTTTGATCTTGATCATAAAGGATTCAAACAAATAAAAAAATAGTCAAATGTGGCAATACAGTACAAAGTCTTTAATCCAGACTCATTGGGACTTCAGCAATTCCGGATTAGGGGTTTTTTTTGGATTACAGACCATCAATTTAAATCTTGTAGGATGGCATGCAGAAATTATAAAATTAAAAATATGAAACTGTAATTTATGAAATAAATAACAATTATGATCTAAAGGATATCAAAATTTACAAAAAAAAAAACAAGCTTACTATTTATTTGTTTACTTTATTAAGCATTTCTTTCAATGTAAGTTGTTTAAGTTGCTTCGTTTTATGTGCTAATACTTTCCCTTTAATTCTATAAACAGACATAATTTCTTGTCAGTTACTAAGTTCCGCTGTTCAAATCCCGTAATTGCTGTGCCGAGAATACCGACTAACTTGTCAATCGAAATTTTTTCGTTTTCACTAACCTCTCTGTCACTTCTTCATGTCTTTATCCACTTTTTGTTTGATGGACATTGAAACATGCTTTCGCTTTGTAGATCCTTTGACAGCTCCAGAATCGGAAACTCTTTTTGACATAATCGAAAGTTCAAGCTTACTTTTTATAAAATTGCTCTAACAGTCTGCAAAAATTAATAAGTTGGATCCAATTAGAAAATTAAGGAACAACGCAATCTGCAACATTAACTGAAATAGATAATTAGATAATTTTAGCCTAGCTTATATCGTCCGTTATATATTAAACATGCATGCATAAACACGTATGCGCATGCGTAAACATATTATGCGCATGTGTAAATGCATTATGCGTTTATGCATGTGCAGAAAGTTTGTAGCTTTGAGGTCCGGATTATGGACGTCCGGATTAAAGACTTTGTACTGTATTACAAAATATTGACAAGACTGGGAAATTTTGTAAATGTTATTCTTTTCTTTTATTTGGTCTAATTAACAAGCTGCAAATGGTTATTTGCGCAGATTTTTCAAACCAATTTCAATAAAGAAATTATAAACCCAAACAAGCAAAAGCAAACTATTTGAAATATGTCCAAAAATAAATCTATTCTTATGTAGGTACATTAATACGAAGATAAAGACTGATTACTGAAATTTTTTATTTTAAATAAAATTCTTAAAAAAAGTAGCTTTATAGATATATAAGATGAATAGTGAAAGCATCATTATTAATTAAAATATCTGACTGACATTATCCATTTACTATATTAAGTTCATTGCTATAAATGAAATAGTTCTATTATTTGTTGCATCGTATCTTCTGGACTTTTAACAGTGTGGCCTATGACATCTTTATGGTTGAAAATTTCATAGTCATTTCCACCCTTCGAAGTTTTATCACCAAAGAAATAAATAGTAGTGTATCCATCATTCTTCAGATATTTCAAGCAATACGTTTTATCCCAGCCATCGGGAAAACAGTCAAAACTTATCTGACCACCTGAAATTAAATTTTCTTATAAAAAAACTCAATCAAATAAAATTTGCAAAGCATTTATAATTTTTTTAAGTAGAAAAATGTAATGGAGTTAAATATGCATATAAATGCTAAAAAATGTTTCCTGTCTGATGGCCCTTGAAACTGATAAAGTTATGTTCAAAATCCCCACCAAAGTTGTAATTTAGCTCAATTTTAAATACTAAAAGATGTCTTGTGACTAATTTTGATTACAAGAGAAATAGATATTATACTTTTGCTACTAGGTAAATATTTTTTGCATTCTTTTGATTTATCTCTTTTGGGAAAATGACCCCATGCTATCAAAATTGAAACAGTCTACAAATTCTTAATAGCAGACTGCTGAAAAGTTACTACTTGCTGATTTTTCATTTGGTTTTAGATGACCAAGAAATTAATTTACAACTTTTTCAAAATCAAAGAAATTGCATCTTTCTACCTGGTGTGGAATTACAGAAAAATTCTGGATGTTTCCATTATCTCCATAGGAAATCTTGATCTTGCCCACTATGAAATAATCATGTTTTAAGCATAATCAATGAAGCACACCATTTGGTGTACTGCATGAGAAACTGTAAATTAAAGTACTGTTTTTACTTTTTGTAATAACATGCAATCAATATCAATATATATATGCAAAAATTAATATTTTAACAGCTTGTAAACATTGATTTTAAAGAAAAACTAATCTTCCAACAACTGTTTCACCAAAGCACTACATTATATATGAAAAAACTATAGTACAGTTACTGGATCTTAAACATATCATACTTTTTGATATAGATGGTATAAAGATTGATACAACATGATATTAAGTGAGGCTATCCCACTCAGTTTCAAACTCAATATTTCTTGAATAATTTGGACATTAACCAGGCTATCATAATAAAATATGTCATGAGATCATAACATGTATATAACTGGCCACTATTTGTCTATAGGCAACACTGAACCTGAAGCACCATATTTTGAAATGTCCTGGCCAGTATCTCCACTGTCATGCCTTCATTGCTTCATTTATGTTTGTTTTCCTATGATTTGTGGCTTGTCTAAATTCTGCATTAAATAGCTCCACGAAAAATAACAAATTTAAATTGAGTGAATGTGGTAGCCAAAGACCCTCTGAAATGATACATATAACAAAAGATGATTAAATTTAGCCCTACTGGCATATATTTTTTCTGTAGGAATCATTGCTCAATTAATTTATAAAGCTGTTTGAGATTTCCGTTCTTTTACAAAACTCTTGAAAATTTCCATATACACAGGTGCTAAGTTGATAGCTCAGTTCATACATATAAATAATAAATTCTCCAGTGGACTGTTTACATTCTGTTTATTTAAATTCACGTCTTTTGATTCATGCACATTTTATCTCATATATAACTATGAGAAATCATACTCGAAGATCCTCGATTTCATTTAGCAAACACTTTCATTTGTTGTTAATCATAGTCTCTCTCTCTCTTTCACAAAAAAATCTGAGCCAAGAGATGTACACACAACTTTTTAATATGCAGTTAAGCCCAAATAACAGGTTTAACAGGTTCTAACAATTGTACCCAAGAATAGGGCCAATTTTGCATTGCTGGGGTATCCCATATTTATTAACCTGAACCTTTTGGAATGGATTTGTGGATTTCACCAAGATTTTCAGTAGATCAGATATAGTAAATTTCAAAATTAAAATACTTAGAACCATGTTTTATCTGAGAACCAAGTGAAGTCCAAACATCAGTGAAGCAATTGAGGCAGTAGTAGATGAAATCCAAACCAGGGCCATTTTAATGTATGTGCCTGCTGGGCACTTGCCTGGCGCCCCACAAGCAAAAGGCCCAATGCTAATCCATTTATATTTAATTTCTGTGAGTGGCAGTTGTAGGGACACCTGCAGAGGGACCCATAATGCTGTTAAGGTGGCATTGGTCTAGATATTGAGGTAGTAACAGTGGATGTACTGATAAGATCATTACGAAATGTGTTCTACGTTTAATGTTGTCTGGATACAAATGATGGTCACTTTCAGCACTTGCTATGACATCATCACGCTTCTTATAAAAAGAAATAAGCTCATTTCAAATTTTGTACCAATATCTTCAATTAATGTCAAAATTATTAAAGAAATATGAACCCTAGTAGCAGTGGAATATTACATGTATCATAAAAATTAAGACAATCATAAGAATGTGTGTGTATGTGTGTGATTATGGCAAAGCCTCGAGGGCTATCTGCCTAAGGGGAGGGATGCCTTCGTGGAGGACTTTCTAAGGGAAACTGGCTCGTATACACGTTACACATGGGGAAAACCACGAAAACGCCCGTGCAGCCAGCCCGTTTGCGAGATTCGAACCTCGGACCGAACTACCAGTGTTCAGCATCTTTACCGCTCGACCGCTGGTGGGCCAATCATAAGAATGAAAAATGTTGTTTTCATAAACATATAAATTGAAATATTTTTTATTCATTAATTAAGCATTAAAATATATGCTTCAAATTTGAGAAATTTTATCAAAATGTAATGCATTAAAATTTTTCTTTCAAACTGCTTGTTAGAATAAAAGTCGTGTTACCTATGGAATAAGTCAATCCATTGTTTGGAAATTTTTCTTTGATGACACTAACAAATTTTTCTCGAATTTTATGCTCCTATGAATTAAAAGAAAAAAACATATATTAACATATATGAAAAAGGAGCACATGAAGAGAAAAAAACATTTTCTAGCAGCCTTCTAACCTTATCATATAATGCAAATTGATCTCGTTCAGCTTGACTACAACTTCTTCCAACAGGGCAGATGTTAATGAGGCCAGAACGAAATTCTACAAAATTTCCACTGCAAAGCAAATAAGTATCAATACTCTATTCAATGAGAATTAAACATGCAATTCATTTATAAAAATTGTTTACCAAGCTTACTTTTAAACAGTTTTTAAATTAAATTGCAGAGAAAAAAAATCTTTTGCTTTCTTTAGTAGCAGATTATTTACAGAGTTGAATTTCATGCAGATATTATGTATTTAAAAAAATTATACACATAATAAATAAATCTAAACTTTTATGTATCTATTTTATATCATTATTTTAATTAAAATATAGTTTGAATATTTCAAATATCAAAACTTTGTTGATAGCAATAATTTTCTCTTAAAAAATTTTATAATTTTAAAAATAGTTGCATACTAATTAATAACAAGACTTAGTACAAGGGATGATTTACGAAACAAAAGTACTGGAACAAAATAATGTCATAAGTGATAAATCTCTTTGTCAAATCAATGCAATTTAAGAAGATTTTAAAAATTCCAGTACTCTTCTGCTATCAGCACCATATTCAGAAAGGTATGTATGTATGTGCATATATTTGTACTATTTACACAAACACACACATACCTGCATACATACATATATGAATACATTCATTCATCCATACATGCATATATATATATATATACATAACGGTACCAAAATTCCATCAAAATTTGTATAATCTTGCTAAATCTTTAGCAAGATATTATAATTCATAGTGTACAATTTATCCAATGATTCAAATGAATATATTTCTTAAAAATGTCGAAGCTTGTTAGAATTTCTATTTTCTTACACATAAATAAATATGCATTTAATAAAGAACTTCATTTCTACACTTAGAAGTTAGAAATCTAGTGGCAAGTTAGAAATAATGAACAAATATATATAAAAAAAAAAAAAAAAAAGAGAAAACAAAAAAATAAATACTCCATTACAATTAAATGAAATAATAACAAACTAAAAGCTGAGTAAATTAATAACAGCATGATATGGTATCTGATATTTTGTTATATTTTACAGAATACAGATATAGTATTCTGAATAATAATTTTTGTGGTTTGTTAAAATTTTGTTTTGATTCTCAGCATATTTAAAAATTTCTTGATGGATTAGAATAAAACCTAATACTTTCTCTTCCTGAGTGAACTGTATATTGATATCAGGTATTTCTTCCCTAAATGCTGAAGGATTCAAGCATATTTTGTGTTTCTCAGAGAAAGTCAGGCATACATTCAATACCCAGTATTCTGATAAACTTCCAGAAAAAATGCTGCGTGAAAACTTTTCTACTGATATTACAAACTCAATTTCTAAATATCAAAGTGATGACAGTTGTCAAAGGTAGATTAAAAAAAATAAGCATTATCTACAAGTTATGCACTTATAGAATAAATAAATGCATTTAGGGTTTACCTGACATGCGAGTTTAGATAAGACAGTCTGAGATTTGTATTTAAATCCGCAGCAGTATGCAGGATTGTAAAAGTTTGGAATTTTTAAACGAGAGTGACTGTCTACCCAATTAATCAATTTTACCATTAAATGCACCACCTCCAGTACAAATGTTTTTTTAACTATGAACAACACATTAGTCTCCATAAAGGCATTGATTATAAATGTCAACTTTAAAAGAAAATTGAAATCTGGAAGTGAATTCCAAATAATCATGCAGTGATTTTTATGAACATATAAAATACAAGATAGAGTTTGCAAAGAAAATATACGAGAGAGACAAGAATAAGACTCCCAGCCATTCCCATCATCCTACTTTTCAAAGAATACAATAAAATTTGGTTAATCTTTGGATTATGGTAACTTGGCGATTTTTTGGCAAATATTTGGCGACAAACCCTGCTACAGCAACCTGCTAGTTTTTGTTTGGATGCCATTTTGTTCTCACAAAGTAAAGGCATTTTTTTTTTTTTCTTTTACTCAACATTTTTTTTCAGCAATCTGCTAGCCGAATTACACTTATGCTAGAACTTTCATGGAACAAAAGTGCTTAATCATGACGAAGATTAGGTGCGGAATTGGGAGAAAGTGCAGAATCGCAAACTGCTTGCCGCGTTTTTAAGAATTGCACATACACGGTATCCATGTACACGTCGACCTATTTTCACTCAAAAAAAAACATCCCAGAATTGTACAAAAATAGCATTGTGCACACTCTTGACTTTATCCATGTACACTGCTAAAGTCCAAGCTAGTAACCTTTATCGCCTTACCAAAATGTCGCCAAACTACCTGTTACCATATTCCAAAGATTAGCCTAAAATTTATGCTGACTAAATGTAATTTGATTGACAAGCTAGAAAATAAATTTCTATGCACTGTTTTTCTTCTTCATTATATAAAATCATTAAACCAATCTACCTCAATATATCATTATATTTTATTTAAGTGCTTTTCATCTTCAAGTTATTGAAACACCAAATAAGTCTACAAAATTATACAGCATAAAAATATATAGTGTTACTGAATGTGACACTTCTTTATTAAAGTGTTCACAGCATTCAGTCACCCAACTGCCAAATTTAATACCTAGTCTCTAATGTGTCAGTTTCTGAAAGACCATGCAGTGGTTGCTTTAATAATGTTACACATTTTATACTAATAAAGCACAAAATCTGAGATTCGGACTCGCCGAACTTTGGTAATTCTGAATTAGAGATTTTTCTGGTTATTGGATCAACAAGTGACAAATAATATGTGTTTACATTCAGCAAGTTTCCTACTTTCAGGTGAGAAACCCGTCCTTATACCTAGCTTCAGACAGGACAAGTGAAAGTACTTGAAGGAGGCTTTTTTTTAATAATACTTTAAAAACTGTCATGCTCAAATAATTTAATTTGAAGATAACAAAAGACAGGTTATTGGCCCAAGAATGGATGTCTTCATTGAGGACTTTATAAAGAAAATTGGTTCGATTCATTTATGCATCAGAAAAACTGTAAAAACCAACCATGCAGCGTGGCTGTTCACCAAGAAACAAATCTCGATCTAATTCCCAGTATTAAGATCTTAACCAATTGGCAGCTAGTGGAACTCTCCAATAAAATTATATATAATTTTTTCTTTTTAATCTTCTGAAGGGAAAATTACACTAGTTTTTAAAAATGCAATAAGTATTTCTTATTACATTGAGATTTTATTTTTTTAATAATTTTTGGTTATCTGTATTTTTACTAGTTAATATAACCACATATTTAGGACAAATAGAATAACAAATCATGTGAATGTTCACTTACCGTTTAACAGGTAGGACTAAATCTGACATATAACGTAGACAAAAGTTGATGAAAGATTGTAGTTTTTCTTCTCCCATATAATCCAAAATGTTCTAAAATTTTATTAGTATATATTTATAATTGAAAATATATTATAAATATATTAATTATTTTAATATTGAAATTAAACATACCTCTTTTGCTAGTAATTTTCCATTCTTGTATGCAACAAGGCCATTTTCAGCAAAAACATAATTATACATATTCACAGCTACAAATCAAATACCTACATAAATATCAACAAAGCAGTAAACAATAAACTTAGATATATATATATATATATCAATAAACTTATATAATGTAAGGTGTATCATTAAAAAATAAACAGTACAATTAATTAAAAAAGAAAAAAACCTGCCAGACAATGAAAGGTTTCAATTTTATTTTATATGACAGTTAGTTAAAATATTACTAAAATTTAGGTAGATGCAATCAACATTAGCGAAAGAATAAGCAGTGATATTTAAAATTTCATAAGAAACAGTGATACTACTTGATTTTCATGGCCCCTGCGACTGCCAAATTATATAAATTTCATGAAATCATATACGGTCAAAAGTCGTTAATCTGGACTCGTCGGGACTTCGGCGATTCCGGATTATAGATCATCAGTTTAAATCTGGTAAGATGGCATGCAGAAATTACAAAATTAAAAATATGAAACCATAATTTATAAAATAAAGAACAATTATGATCTAAAGGGTATCAAAATTTACCAAAAAAAAAAAAGGTTAATATTTATTTGTTTACTTTATTAAACATTTCTTTCAATGTAAGTTGTTTAAGTTGCTTCGTTTTTTATGTGACAATACATTCTCTTTAATTCTATAAACAGACATAATTTCTTGTTCAGTTACAAAGTTTCGCTATTCAAGTCCTATGATTGCTGTGTCTACTGACTAATTTGTCAATCGAAATTTTTTCGTTTTCAGTAACCTCTGTCACTTTCTTCGCTATCGGAAGCGAATTATAATGACGAGGAATTTGATTTAAATCATATCAAAGACGGAGTACATCGAGATGAAATACTACATTTAGTAAGGAATTATAAGCCAAATAAAATAAAAACATCTGCCCTGAAGATAAGGATAATACTGACAGATCAACTTCCAGTTCATTGCGCGCCACGGCGTTAAAGATAAACAAACGTTAAAGTTTAGATAAACAAAGGATATGCCTTTATCTATTTTTTGCAGCAATTCCACTTTTTGTTTAATGGACTTCAAAACATACTTCCACTTTGTAGATCCTTAACATATTAGTAAATATATATCAGAAATTCTATTTGACATAATCGAAAGTTCAAGCTTACTTTTATAAAATTGCTCTAACAGTCTGCAATTAATAAACCGGATCCAATTCAAAGATTAAGGAACAATGCAATCTGCAACATTAACTGAAATAGATAATTAGATAATTTTAGCTTAGCTTATACCGTCCGTTATACATTAAACGTGCACTCGTAAACGTATTTTGCGCACGCGCACACGCATGACGCATGAGCAGAAAGTTTGTAGCTTTGAGGTCCGAATTATGTTTGTCCGAATTAACGACTTTTGACTGTATTGCATTATGTTTCGGATATCATTTTACTGGGGAAGGCATTGTATGTAAACAGGAATGGCAAAAAAATTTCACCACCCTGAAGCATATTTTTAACCGCTCTACGTACCGTTGCTTTATCACAATGTGAGAAACATACATACATTTATGCAGATTCTTTATTATTTAATTTCTTTAAATATAATACAGGGCTGGGATATGGCAATCACTGGGATACGGCAGGCATAATTTATAGTGAGTAGTTTAAATATTGCTCCCTTTTGATAATAGGGGCCTCGAAATCAAGTAATACCGAAATAATTATCATACTGTAAACACAAAGCAATTACATTTGATACATATATAAAAAAATTATACAGCTTTTTAATTTTAAGAATCTGATTAAAATTTGTAATTTATCGGTAATATTTTACTTTTTTAATGACACTGCTAATATTATTTAATCATATTATATATGACAAAACTTCAAAAATGTTAAAGCAGAATTTCATTTAATTGAATATATGTAAATTAAAAAGAATTATCTAATAACAATAATAATGATAAACTTACCCTCAAAACCCTCCCCCATTTGTTCAGTTATTTTTTTTAGATCTGATCCTCCAACTAGTCCAACAGGCACTTTACTTTTCAGTTTGCCAAGTAAATCTTTCATTTCAGCTGCTATTGCCTTCAGAAAAAAAAAAAAAAAAAAAAAAAAAAAAAAAAAAAAAAAAAACAGAACATGATCTCATCTTCTAGTATGAATCTGCAAGAATTCTAAAAATAATTATTCATTTTATTGCTCATAGCAAAATAATCCAATCATTAATAAAAATATAGTGCGAAGGTTTCTTTGGGATTCAAGAACAGAATCACATTAAAAGTTCATTTAACTTGAAAATGTTAAAAAATTAAACATTTGCCTTCTTCTAGATAGCAAAATATACATAAACTTATATTAGAGCAGGCATGTGAAATTCAAATTGCATGCAGGCCATATGCATAATCTGGAAATGACCGAGGTGACATTTTTTTTCTTTACAAAATGAAAATTTTATTAATAAAATAAAATATTTTAAATAAATTTTAAATTTCACTACCTAAATATTTGCTACCAATGTGACATAAATGATAATATTATAAAGGGGAGGAAATCAAATTTCAATTTTCTATGAGAATCTAAAGTTTGATACTTGCAAGAGTTATTTGTTGGTTACACTTAGCAGTTCAAGCGTACTGAGAGCTAAATATTAAGTTCTTAGACTGACTTTTCTTTCAATAATTACAGCATGTTTAATTAATCATTAAATAATTTACTTAAATTTAAACTACAGATAAACAACTTACGAAAAATTTCTAAGCTTTCACAAAAACTTTTCCAAGTGGAACAAAACTTGAAAATAAATAATGACAACTTAATTTTTTCTCTTATTTATTAAATTTTTCTTTGCTTCATCACAGACTGCAGACACCAGTCTGTGATGAAGCACTGTTCTTATCAATTTTAAACTATAAAAAAAAGCTGTATGCATATAAATGCAATCCGAAACAAAATGATTATTCTAGTGCAAAAGTTCATAACTGAGCTTATTTATTTTATATTTTGGACAAGTAAGAATAAAAGTTAATGAAATCCATATCTTTACATCAATGAACAAGATTTATATCACACTGTAAATTAACTAAATTTATAGATTTTCTGGCATGCTGTTCATTTATAATTAATTGAATAATATATATTCAAACCTTCAAATATCTAAAATTTTGAAATCTTTGTAACACCATATTTGCAACTAATACATAATTAAATGTCTTTGGGAACTGTATGGGGCCCATAGGCCACCCGTTTTACACCCCTGTATTAGAGAATACATTTGCTTTTATTACTGATCATGTTGTGCTTAAATGTGGATAGTAACTAGGGCTATAAAAAGTAGGAAAATCAACAATACTGGGGTGAAGTGCAGAACTGCCCACTATTTGTTCGGCACTTTTCACAAGAGTAAGAAGAATTGGATTTTTGTCAATTTGCTTTGACTTTTTAACAACAGAATTTTGTGTATATGAAATAAACAACAGATTTTTGTTGAAACAGATTGTGAAAACTGATTTTTGTGTATATGGTTAATTGTTGTTGTGTATATGGTGTTGTGTATATGGTATAAGTCGAGGGAGTGCGCAATGGCATTTTTGTGCAATTCTGGGATATTTTTTAATAGGTTGTTGTGTACATGGATACCGAGTTTGTGCAATTCTTAAAAACGCACCAAGCAGTGAGCGATTCTGCACTTTTCCCTAATATTGCTTGTCACCTTTTTTTTTTTAACATGGACTTTTACGGTAGATGTTTAAAATATAATCATATAATTATATATGAATATAATATATATAATTATATGAATATAATATATTCATATATAATGATGTCATAATAACTATATATAATTACTGGTCATGTCGCACTTAAATGTGTATAAGAATGGAGGATATAAAAAGTAGAAAAATCAACACATAATATTGCTTGTGTTATCACTACTTTTTTAACATGGACCTTTTACGGTACATGTTTAAAATATAATTATTATACATATATGTCACATTACCTAATCTATATATATCTATTTTAAGTCATGTTAATATACATTAAGATATTATTAAATGATAACAATTCAAAAAAACATACATTTTCCCTTGCACAGCACTTATATTATAGAATATCTTTGGGCAAAAAAATCTTAAAACCATAGATTTATAACTAATAAGCATATTCAAATGCTCCAGAAACAATTAAATTTATCTTATTTAATTTAAAAATATTAATACTTGTCTCGGCTTTGTGAGTGTTCCATCAACATCAAAAAGACAAACAGTTTTTTCGTCCATCATTAGCCAAATAATAAAGATTTATCAGGTAAAATAGGATTAGAAAAAATTACACTCTCACAGAAGCAACCAAACACCGCTTATATGATGTGTCACTTTATCAGGAGACATAAACAAAACGCATGTCAGTCAGTTAGCTAAAATGTTTAACTTCTGCGCATGACGTCATTATCGAGCCAAAAAATTTCACATTAAAAGTAATTTTAATTTTAACATCCAAATGAAAAGCATCAACTGTTCACAGATTTTCTATTTCGTATTCGGAACCTGCTATTTCATTATTATACCTCAACAGTTTCTTGATCCTCTGAATTATATTATAAAATAAATTATTTCTGCTCTGTCGAAGAAGGAATATTAAGTACTTTTTTATTGTGCGCTTACATGTTCTGTGAGAATGTATGTACAGTCTAGAAAATGATATATAATTAACACCTTTATCTAATAATGAACTTCATTATTATGATTCATTTGATGCATTATGATATAATGGAAAAAAGAAAACGCCTGAATATCTACCACAAAAGATAAATAATTTTAATTCCACAAATTACTAAATCTACTTTAGGAATAATGGTAACAGAAAAAGTCCTTCGATATCCTGAAGGAACGAGGGCCTCAACTTCGACACAGATGAAGTTTATAATGACGTCATTGCTTTCTGATCATGGACCTTATAAGAAATAGACCCACACAGATCGTATTGTATTCTTGAGTGTCAAGATGCAGAAACACCTTTTCACTCGACTTCTGATAAAGATCGGGTGGGGGCAGAAAGAGAAGGGTGAAAGGAGTGTGTGAGGCGGATAAAAGAGAGTGAGGTCCACACTAGCGGCGGCGAGGGGGGGTGTCAAGTTCAGAGTCGTTATAAGATGTAGCCGCGGGTGGTAAAACCGCAGAGTCAGTTTTGCGTGAATGAGTCAATTAAGATTGTGATTCTTATGTGGGAAGGACGTCACAAGGGTAACGATGCTTTTCTCTGGGACGCGGGGAGTGTCTGAGAGTGCTAATAAGGCTATTACTGTGGGTTTGTACTGAATAAAAGAAGTTGACGGCTAATCGTTTAATATACTCTTTGAATAAGTTCGATTCGAAGGTCTCTGTGAATATAGATGTTGGGAATATACCAAGGAGCATTGATAATTTCTCTTAGAATTTTATTCTGTAGAATTTTTATTTGCTTAATATTGGTTTTAGCTGCATGTGCCTAGATCGGTGCTGCATAAAGAAGAGCTGGGCGCAGTATGCAGCGATATAGAATTAATTTGTTTGTAGTAGATAAGTTGCTTTTTCTACCAAGAAGAGGTCGCATAGTAGCTGTGGTGATTTTAAATTTTTGTACTACGGATCGGAAATGCGTTTTGAAGGTAAGTTTTTGGTCAAGGGTGACTCCAAGGTATTTGGTTTCATTAATCCAGTCTATTTCTTCATCAAATATTTCAGGGGGTGGAGGATAGTATTTCATGTTTCCTTTACGGAAAATTATTGCCTTAGTTTTATCAGTGTTAATTTTAATCCTCCAAAGGGTAAGCCATTTTTCCAGTTTTATGAGATAGCTTTGGAGTTGGTTTCTTACGGCGATAACTGTGCAGGCTTTAGTAAGTATGGCGGTGTCATCGGCAAAGAGTGCAAGATGAACAGAAGGGTCTTTAGGGATGTCTTGTGTATAAATATTAAAAAGCTACGGCGAAAGTGCCGACCCCTGTGGGACGCCAGCATTGATTACTCTGGTGGTAGAGTAAGCAGTACGATTTTGATTCTGAATGTTCTGTTGCTGAGAAAAGAGGCTATTAAGCGAATAAAATGATCTGGAAAATTGAGAGTGATTAGTTTGTAAATAAGGCCTAGATGCCATACCCTGTCAATAGCTTTCGCGATATCGAGAAATATAGCACCGGTCGGAAGCTTGCAGTTGTAGCCTTCAGTGATAATGTTGATAACTCTAAGAAGTTGGTGGCAAGTGCTATGATGATTACAAAAACCGAATTGTTCTGCTGGGAGAAAATTCATGGAAGGGTGAATTTTTGGATATGGAAAAGTAGGAATTTTCTCAGTAACTTTAGACAAGGTGGCTAAGTAAACTGATAGGGCGGTAGTTCTGTGGGAGAGTTGGATTTTGTTGCGGTTTAGCAAAAACAATTATTATAGCTTGCTTCCATGAATTAGGAAAATGAGCGGATTTGATAATGTTGTTGATTATCTTAGTAAGGCAGGTAAGAGCGTTGATCGGAAGATGCTTCGGTGCTTTGGTCGAGATGCCATCATGCCCTGGGCCTTTCTTCGTTTGTAAGGCGCTGATGGTGTTGGCAACGATTGTTGGGGTAGTCAGGAAAGTGAAGTTGTACGGAGCAGGGGTATTAAGGAAGTTATTGACCACCTGGTTGACCCGTTCAATATGGTTATTGTAGTACGGAGTGGGATTAAGAGTGAATGTATCGTCCATAGTCGCAAAAGATACTCAAACGGGTTTTCTTTCGTCGGCGTTCCGCGTCCCTGATCATCGGAAGTAGGTGATTCAAAACTAACATTGTGAATTGCGTGTTATCAGGTTCTGTGTTCCTCCTTACTTGCTTTGGGAACATTAAATGACCTGACTCGGAACAGGGAGCTTACTAAAGCTATGTTCAATAAATGTGGGAAGTAGACAATACACACAGGAAGGGTATACGAAACCCTTTATTTTTTTCTCTCTTACAATGATTTCCGGACTTCGGAATACAGAGACCAACCACTTGTGGTCTGAACGTAAGAATATAAAAATATTAACTAAACTCTAACTAAACTAACTTTGGATTAATCAAACAAGTGCCTACTCCAAGATTGGCCGTATATTAACAAAAAGCCGTATGTAGTACAGAGAACTGCTTAACACTACGATACGTTTAAAATTATTAATCAAGGCAAGAAACTTAAGTACGCTTCGCAAGACAAATTTGCATAAATAAGTTAAAGCTTTTAATTCTGGCCGGAAGTAGAAAATAAGAAGTGATAGTAAAGATTTAAAATAAAATAAACGTTAGTAAAACTTAAGATCCTTACAGTGTGTTAATTGTCAAAAAGCTGGTTGCGCTTATTCAATTAGATTCAATATTTTATTTTTAATTGAATTGATTAAAAATTTAGCATATTATCAGTATAATAACGTTCCAATAATTATAAAGCTATTGCAGCTTTCGGACATATTCATTAGCTTCCTATGCTGTGAGGAAATTTGTAACTACTTCTTTTAGTAAATAATATTTTAAATCTGAACTAATGGAAAATTTCAAACAAGCAATTTTCTCTTGCAATTTGTATGCTTTTTATTGGTGTAAATAAGTAAAAAATACTAAAATATTTAAAAACGAATTTTTGAAAGTTTTGTTTAAAATTTTAAACTGTGCGCTTTTTTAAAATTATACATGAGTATTATAGCACAATTTCTATAAAGGAATTTTATTTCAATTATATTTTATAATACATCATAGTGATAAACACTTTTGACTTTTTAAAAATTTTTGTACATTTAATTCTAATATTAAAATTATATTTTAACCACAATAATTAATTTCGCTCGTATTTTAGAGTGATTATTTTTTTTAATTTAATTTTAGTTCTGCATAAGATTTTTTAAAATTTACTGTTCATTTAATTTATTAGCTCAAAGGGGCGGTAGCCTAGAAAGGCTGTTAGTTTCGAAGCGGCATTTTGCGCTGTTTTACTATAAATGTCGGTGTCTCTTTGCAAATTGTTGTTACCCAATATTATCGCACTGTATTATATTTAAAGAAATTAAATAATGAAGAATTTGTATGAATACATGTATGGTTCTCGCACTGTGACAAAAACGACAGTATCTAGAGCCATCAAATTTTGAATAATGTAATCCTCCACCCGAGCATGGGCATCTGGACGGCTGAATTTCGAATTTGTTTTAATCTATATCATAATTTGTAAAACTTTAACGAATTTTTCATTAACAAACTCAACGAGTTCAGAGATAGCACTGTACGGAAAATAACTGTTTCATCTCCAGTGCGGAAATTCTAAAGATATGCTGTTTTCAAATGTATGTGGTTTACGGGCGAAGAACATGATATTCAATAACTATAAGTAACACACAAAACGTTAAAAAAAGGTTCCTTTTGGGCGTAATATAATATCTTAATGCTTCTAGATTTTATTTTACCTTTTTTTTCCCTTCATTACACTCAGAAAATTTTATGCTCCGAATTTTATAAATTACTAAAATAATTATTCCACTTTAATGTTAATAAGTTAATGATGATACAAATCAAATAAAGGAATTGTTTTGTAATGTTATTATAGTTTTGAAAATCTACTTCCTGAAAATGATCATTAATTTTTTTTAAAAAAAGTTATCAGATCTTGTTTAATTTTACCTTATTTATTCCAAAGCATCACAAAAAAGCATTCCAAAGCATCACTATCAACTTTATTTAATTTTATGTTATTTGTACGCAAAATTAAGTTCATAAATTTTGAGCCTAGAGTTTTTACCGTTTTACCGAAGTAAAGATATTTGTACAAGAATTACGCGTGAAAAAAAAAAACTGCGCGAAATGCAGTAAAAAGTGCTTTAATGAGATATATTAAATCCTATTTGGAAATAACCGTGGATTTCATAATCTCATCACTATACAACGTATCACATTTAATAATTAAAAAGAGTTATGTGATACAAACGCCATAGGTTTCAGTGTTAAAAGTAAACCAGATCGTCCCTACTCTTTCTTGCCGACATGTCGGTGACGAACGCCCCGCCTACAAAGTTGGTCTATCTCTTATAAGGTCCATGTTTCTTATGTTTAGTTTACCCAAAGAATCTGTAAGGAAAAGAATGAAAGCTTCCATAGACGCAATGTAAACCTGTTTCGCCTCTGCGCCGCTATATCGAGGAGACACGGCTATGCAGTGAAACAGCAGCGCAGGGTGGAAATTTAAATAGCGCAGTCCGAGGTAATAGATAGGTAAATTTTTTTACTTTGAAATAACTCAAAGTGTTTTATTTTCATACATTTTCGGAGTTTTATGAGCAAAATGATGTTAGTTGAAATTTTGGGCGAATCCTATCTAATTTTTACTTTCAATTTAAACAGCGAGCCATACGAAGACAAAATTGAAATGAAATAAATTTCTTAATACTTATCAGAATTCAAAGACTTATGTTTTAGACAAATTGTGTAGTTGATCTTTTATCTTCTTATCTTTAATTATCTAGATGTTTCGCATGGAACATCCTAAAAGTTCAATTGCAAAATAAATGAAAAAAAGAATAAAACAAATTTTATTATTTTTATACTCCTTATTTTTCCCCTTAACCCTTCTTTCTGTAAACTCACATAATTGTTATTCTTTCCTTACAGATTCTTTGGTTTACATACATTCGGTCATTAGCGCGCAGCATACTTTCGGTCATAGCGTGCAAGTAGATGTCTGTCTCTTCCTCTTCCTTTCTTTCATAAGCGATGAAACAGCAAAATTTCAGCTAAAGGAAACTATACAAGATTTGGGAGGTTTGTTTCTTGAAAACACAGCTTTTATTAATGAGGTTGTCGAAAATGGACGGAAGTTGGAAAAGTAATTTAGGTATCAAAGATTCGGTCATCAAAATTAAGGTAATTTATTTTAATGTATAATAATACATTTCATATTTGATTTTATATTATTCTGTCTTTATTGGTTAATTTATTATGCTAATAAATAATCGTATCAGTATGAACGCTTTCATTTTACGTACAACATACATCACATCAACTAAAAATAATGCTATGATATGTACAGGAAAGTGTGGTAAAAAGCAGAGAAAGTACTCAAATATTTCATACATGTTATGAAAATTATACCAACAATAATGCTTTAGATTAGTGTCTTGTTCAGAAATGGGCTTAAGAATGCTTATATATATGCTTTTGGCATTTCCTTTAGAAAAACATTTTGTATTGAGTAGACATGTTTCAGGCAATAAAAGATAAGTGTTAAAATCTCTTGAATTGTAATATATTTTATAATATTTTAGTTTAATAGACGATTCAAATAGGTAGAGCATATAATCTTTGATAGAGTTCTCAACTAAAAAGCCTATTTCTGTATGTTGAGCATAAATATTATTTATATCTTCATTAATATATCTTATAAGTTTCATGTTGATGATAGAATTAAAATGAACACTAAAGATGTTCTTATAAAAGCCATCTGAATTTAAAAGGCTATTTGAATAGGAAACCTTTAAATGAAGTTTTGTGTTTTTCTTTTTCTTTTTTTTAAAGACAATTTTGTTGTATTATTCACTACTTCAAAATTTAAGTTTTTTTTTTTTCAGCTCAGAAGCTTCTTCCAGCTTTAATTTTTTTTTGCAAATTATATACAGGAACCAGATTGTGCCTGTCAGGTTTATATCAAACTGAACTAATATGTGTAATTGATTAAAATTAAGTAATGCCTCTTGGAGGAAAAACAAAGAGTTTTTAAAACAAATTTTGGAAGCACTTCCGCAGAGAACCTGGTAAATGTAAACATCGCCAACTTTGGCGATAGTAGTTCAAACCTGGTAACCCATCGGATTTATCCTATTCGCTTGTTCGAAGTTTGCAACATTCCTCTTGCGTCCATTTTTTTTAATTATCGCTGTCATTGTTCGCATTTGCAGATCTATATTATTCTTCTCTTATTTATTATTATTTTTTCTGAATTTTTTAGCAATGAATAGATAGAAATATTTTCGTAGGTAGATGCCGGTTCTCGTTTCGGGATCGATGAAAGGAGGGGTGAATGCTAATTTGTAACACGGCTGTTCACGTTGTGTTTTTAATTATTAACAGCCCTAAGAACCATGAGGTTTTCAACCTCTAAAATAATTTGTTTTCGTAGACCGCAAAAATGTGCATATGCATTTTAAATAATTAAGTAATGCTTTTATTTTTATTATTGGTTATTGTCATCTAAAATTATGAGAATAAATCAATTTTTATGGCGTAAAATTTTAACAATATATTGTTAATGCTTTTCTAACAACAATCTTTCAGAGGATCGCAGGTGTGACATAAATATATGATGAAATTGAAATTAAAAATATTATTGATTATCTAAGATGAGAGAATAGTTTTGATGCATCCCACCATGGTCATCAAATTCAGCAAACCACTGCTGGTGTAAGGAATATATTGTTTTCTGTGTTAACTGGAATTTAAGACAAATTTTTTTTCGTATATCACGTTTGAACCGGTTAATTCAGTATAATTGATACTAATTTATATTTTTTAAATGAATTTTTTTCCGTTATAAATGCTTATATATTGTCTTATGCTTAATAAATATTCTTTTTGTGCTAACTTGAATTTAATACGAATTTATTTTCGTATATCACGTTTAAACGGTTAGTTTTACATCTACATGCTTATTATCTGTGAATTTTTACTACCATTTGCTTGTATATTGTTTTGTCTGCTAATTTGAATTTACATGCACTAAAAATCACGTTTACGGCTCGGCTCATTGTCGATGAACCGTGAGCTTGGCGAGTAAAAATGCAACATCGCCAACGGGTTCTCTGCGGATGAAAACCCCAAATTTTTTAGTGAAGACAGAAAAAATGGCTACATATTTGTACAACATTATCGAATTACTGAGTTGATATAAAAAATGTGCAATAATTATCAGCTGTAAATCATAGAGGATAAATTGATTACAGAATTACTTTAATGGAAATACAATTACATACACATTTCTGACAGCTTTAGTGATAGTTTTTTATATGTGATGACATAGTTCTTGTTTCTAGTTTACTGCATGCACTAAGGTGGGAATTTATCTGCTATCATTGCTTTTATGTTTCCATTTGGAATAATGTAGGTATATCCTGCCAGTTGAAGGGCATTATTTGTTACCTGTGTGATAAAGTGTAATATCTTGAATATAGGGTATGCAAATAGATTACCTGAAAGTGTTTGATGATGTATTTGCTCAGTCACGATTGGAAGATGATAATAATTTATGTTATTATGATAATGCCAGAGATGCTTCTAAGCAGTCTATCTTGCACTTTCTGTCCAGCTGATAAAATATTTTCTAATGCATCTTTTCTTTACAAAGAAACAAAGTTGTATCATTATGCCCTTGATTTGTCATATATAATTAGGAGTCTGGATATTCTGGGAACATTAGCGATTCTTGTCTTGAGATAGTTCTTTGCCATTTTAAGTCTTTCATGATAATCAAGACATATTCATTAATAGCTCAGCATGAATGGTGGTTTTTAATTGATCATAGTATTAAAATGTATTTAAATTATTCTCATTAACTTAGAAACTGTCATCGGTAAAAATATATTTACGGGTGCCCATTGGCGATTTTTGGCAGCACATGGATACTAAGTTTGTGCAATTCTTTCACTTGTTATTTTGGCTTTCTGTAGTGGTGCTACGCAAAGACAAAATAACAAGTCGAAGAATTGCACAAACTTGGTATACAGTCAAAAGTCGTTAATTCGGACACCCATAATCCGGAATGATCTATAATCCAGACCTCAAAGCTACAAACTTTCTGCGCATGCGTCGATTGCGCGTAAGACCTTTACGGCTGCGAATATGCGTGTGTGCAAAATACGTTTACGAATGCGCATTTAATGTATAACGGACAGTATAAGCTAAGCTAAAATTATCTAATTCAGTTAATGTTGCAGATTGCGTTGTTCCTTAATCTTCGAATTGGATTCGGCTTATTATTTTTTGCAGACTGTTAGAGCAATTTTATAAAAGTAAGCTTGAACTTTCGATTATGTCAAATAGAATTTCTGATATACATTTACTAATATGTAAAGGATCTACAAAGCGAAAGTATGTTTCGAAGTCTATTAAACAAAAAGTGAAATTGCTGCAAAAAATGGATAAAGGCATATCCTTTGTTTATCTAAACTTTGTTTATCTTTAACGCCGCGACGCGCAATGAATTGGAAGTTGATCTGTCAGCACTATCCTTATGTTCAGGGCAGATGTTTTTATTTTATTTGGCTTATAATTCCTTACTAAATGTAGTATTTCATCTCGATGTACTCTGTCTTTGATATGATTTAAATCAAATTCCTCGTCACTTCCGATATAGCGAAGAAAGTGACAGAGGTTATTGAAAACGAAAAAATTTCTATTGACAAATTAGTCAGTATTCTCGACACAGCAATTATAGGACTTGAACAGCGTAACTTTGTAACTGAACAAGAAATTATGTCTGTTTATAGAATTAAAGAGAATGTATTATCACATAAAAAACGAAGCAACTTAAACAACTTACATTGAAAGAAATGTTTAATAAAATAAACAAATAAATATTAAGCTTTTTTTTTTGTAAATTTTGATAGCCTTTAGATCATAATTGTTCTTTATTTCATAAATTACGGTTTCATATTTTTAATCTTATAATTTCTGCATGCCGTCTTACCAGATTTAAACTGATGATCTATAATCCAGAATCGCCGAAGTCCCGACGAGTCTGGATTAACGACTTTTGACTGTATATGTATACATCGACCTATCTTCACTTGAAAAACATCGGAGAATTGCACAAACTTGGCATTGTGCACTCCCTTTGTTCACATCGGTCTGTATTCACTTAAAAAGTCAAGGAGCAGCCAACAAAAAATATATAATCTCAATAAACTACATTTTAAATCAAGCAATCAAATAACATAAAAAAGGAAATTCATATTAGCACTATACAAAGGAAATATCCACTTACCTTATTTGTAAATTTTCTTTTCTTCAGTCAAACAAAATTCCTTAACAGCATCCAAAAACTTCCTAAAATTATCTAAACTAGAATCTATGTACTGGCGATGCCACATAAATTCATAAAAATAAGAGTAAAAAATATCCTCCATAGTGCCGGTCTCTGACATTTGACCATGCGCATTTCCTTCTTACAAAGAGGACACTTGTAATGGCTTCTAAATAAACCTCATTTACACGCCACTGAATTAAAGCTCTTTTCCCCTTTCATTCCAAATCGTACAGAAACTTCAAATTAATCTTACCACATTCAGCCATTCTATCCTCTAAACCACAAAACAAGCAATGTACTTCCTAACTAACACACACCACCCTACACCTAACTAACAAACCCTTACAAATCTTTTCCCATAATTCAAAATTTACAGCAGTCATGCAACCGTTTACATCATAATAGGGTTTCCATAACATTCAACTGTTCAGGTTACCGTAAATGAAACGACAACTTGGCGATAAATAAAACAACTTTACGATAATACAAGGGGCACTCTTCAATCCACTCTAACCATGTTGTCAAACAATGCGATTTAGCACCAGTTTTAGATAAACGTGATGTCGCAATACACTTGTATCATCTGCACTTTTGTTTGATGTAAACCCGGTAGATACTTGATACACCACTTTTTTGCATTTATGATCATAAATTAGTTATTACTGTACTTCTTTCTTGCATTTTGAAAAGAAATGAGCTCAAGGGCTGTAGAATCACATTTGTGACAGCTCTCTAGTTCATTTATAGTGGTCAAAAGAATTAACATCTATTGACTGAGAAAAAGAATGGCTGGATATGGCCAACAAAAGAGTAGCAGGTTATAACAATCATATATGAGAAGTTTGTATTCTTAGCAATCTAAATAGAGCTTCTGGTAAAATTAGAATGCCTAACAAATTAGTAGAAATTGCTGAAAGTCATTTTTAGGAAGCACAAAAATGATGCAGGTTGAATACTTGCACAGCAGTTGCTGCTTGGTAGATTTTGCAGAGAGATTGATGAATGCTATATTGTAGGTAGAGGTGAAGCTGAGAATTTAAGAATGCTTGGCACAATTTTGTTGGCTTGATTTTTAGATTATGGTAACTTGGCGAAAATTTGGCGACCAACTCTCCCTACAGCAACCCTCTATTTTTTTTTTCCCCGCCGCCATTTTGTCTTCATGAAGTAAAGACATGTTTCTTTTCTTTTTATCTACTGAACACTTCTTCCAACAATCTACTAGCCGAATTACACTTATGCTAGAAATTTTATCTAACAAAACTGCTTAATCATGACAAATATTCACTGCAAAATTGGGAAAAAGTGCACAATACCATACTCCTTACACGTTTTTCAAAATAACACATACACATAAACCATGTACACGTTGACTTATTTTTACTTAAAAAAACATCCCAGAATTACACAAAAATGGCATTGTGCACACTCTTCTATATCCATGTACACTCCTTTTTTCTCATAAATTAGAAAAATTTCACGAAAATACATGACAATTTTCTGAATCTTTAAACCCGGTAAAAAGAACATATATGAAATTACCTGATCGTGAAAAAGTATATACCCTTTCCAAACATGAACATTTCCACATATAAAATAAATAAAATATCCAAAAACTTTTACCTCTAAATTATCTATTATATTATAAACGTCACCAACGAATTCATACCGCAAACATTACAAATACTTAGTGTCAAATATTTAAATTATTTCCATGCACGTTTACTTCAACTAAAACGTATACCAAATTCCTACAAACATAAAATTCACAAAATAACTATCATTTAATTAAAATATAATTAAATTCAAAAACACTACTTAAAATATAAATAAGCACATACATTAAATTAATAAAAATTACCTTACAATCCTAATTACTTTAAACTAAATCATTGCTAATAACAATTTTCCCAATAATACCAAATTACTTTACTTCCACCTTACATTTAGAACAATGCATAAAAAATAATATCCTCAAATAATTAAAAATTAAACTTACCTAATCTTCTTCAGAATCTTGCTTACATGGTGGATACACTTTTATTATGTATTCATAAAATTATTGAACGATTTTTTTTCTGTGAATTTTTCCTCCACACTTCCTTCGCTAAAATAAAAGCAAAATTCTCTTTATCACAATGCCTCGGAATGGTGCTTTTTATAGCACTCCACGTGCCCTCCTATTGTATTGGTATGTGCACCTGTTTCCGGATCTTTAAAATAATATTTGTGGTTCACAGCAAGATGGTTAAAACCTTCATCTTTCCAAACATTCATACGATTTTTTTCACTTTAGACAGCACATACAATCCCAAAATTATTCAATCCTACTTCACACAACACACAATGAAGCTTAATACAAAATATATATACAGCCACAGATATTTTTCCAAATTCCCCCCCTTTTCCGATTAAAGAACCGTAATTCGTCCATTAATATCACATGACATATCCCATGATCTCTCATTTCCCTCGCACAAAATAATGCGTAATCGGAACTGAGTACTGTTCACATTATTACCAAAGTCCCAGGCAGTAACCTTTATCGCCTCCAAAATGTCGCTAAACTACCAGTTACCATATTCTAAAGATCAGCCTTTTGTTGATATTCCTGTCAGCTTTTATGATTCAGTTGTATAACATGTAAGTGCCTAAAGAGTATGACCACAATATCAGTAAGTGAAACAGAAATTCATTTATAATTAAATTTGTTAATTTCCAATTATTAGCACACTCATTGAAAACTCGGAAAAGAAGCATTTGTTTGGGTATTTTTACTTTATTTCTTCAATACATCAGGAACTGCTAATTTTTTAATAGGCATCTTTTCCCATACAAGACACAGATATATATATATATATACAAGACATATGCATCTTTTCCCACACACACATTCTTTTTTTTTTTTGCACTGCTGTTCTCCCTGTGTTCACAGCAATCTGTTTTCATTGCTTTAAAAAAAAAAAAATCTGAGAATTATTCAAACTTTGCATTTTATGCAGAACTGGTTCTAAAGTCCTGAAGTGAGAAGAAAAAAAGGAGGCACGTGCCTTATCTGATATATATTTATATTTTGCTGAAGACGACGACTACTGCAATATGTTGTCTTTTGCTATGTTAAAATGCTGAAATTGTAGAAGGGAGCATAATATACAGTCACACTTGCAAAACTGTCTGGAGAAAGGAAATGTGCATGCTTGGGTTGCTGCATAAATCCTTTCAGTTGACATTTTGGGTAGCTACTAAAATATTTTATGCAAAATGTAAAAATTATACTGCAAAATGATAATTCAGATAAAATAGTTTGTTGTACCTCATTAATGAAATAATAATACATGTATTACATATTAATATTCTTAAATGTGAATTATTTTAACTATAGTTACTTTAATTATAATTTTACTTTTTCACTTTAGAATGAATTTGACTTCAATGAATTTTCTCCTGTTTCACCAAATGAGATAAATGATGATGAACTTGTCTCATTAACTGTTCGAGACTTGAACAGGCTTCTTAAAATGTCTAATTTAAGCCGTTCTGAGATTCAGCGCATTAAACAAAGGCGGCGAACTTTGAAGAATCGTGGTTATGCAGCCAGTTGTCGAAATAAGAGATTGGAGCAAAAGGATGAACTTCAACATGAGCATTCATTGGTGCAAAGAGATATAAATATACTTAAAGAAGAAAATAGAATGATTGAGAGTGAACTAAATGAAATCAAGAAGCAGTATGAAAGTTTAAGACGGTATGCTCTTCATAGCAATATTTGTATTCCTCCTGAATTTGATATATCTTGTGGAAGTTTCTAATATGGAAAAGTATTCTTTTTCTGTTTATTTTAAAAATAATGTGGTGTTTAGAATCATGCTTATGTTGTTTCTGATGCTGGTGATTTTAATACAAAGAACTATTTTATGTTTGTGACAAAATGTTCATCCATAAAAGTATAAAAAATATTCGCACATTCACTGTACATATATAAAAGGAAATGATTTTTTATATAGCCAAGGTACATAATATATGGCATTAAAAATATTACACAAACTAATGGGCATCAAGTGTAAATGTTGGCATTAAATCTAGTTAGATATAGGAATAGCAACTCTAACAATATGGCCGCCCAGACAGAAAAATGGTCAGCAATGCTGACTCTTCTGAAGGGCCCGGGTTCTAATCCTGGAGAAAGCATTGGGTGTAATTTTCCCGTTCCTTCCTAAAAGCAAACGGTGGCCCACCTAAAAGGTGCTTCATAATAAAGAGACAGTTTCTGGTCTTAGTATTGGCCAATACCTATAAATGGCTAGAGACTGCGATTGGGGTGGGGGAGAACCTAATAATATATTTTTTTAATGAAAATATCCACTTTATTAAATCCAAAATAATTTTTTTAGAAAAAGAGAAATACAGAAATTCATAAATAAAAATTCATTTAATTATTCCAGTTGATAGATGCAGTTGACAAAATTCTACGCATATGAACCTTTAATGATAAAGGTAAATAAGCAGAATGCCTATCAGATAAATACTTTATTACTGATATTTATATAAATTAATAAGCATATTGCTCTTAGATAATTTGTTGTATTTTCTTTAATGAGTAGTGGATTGTTTTAATTTGAAAAGTAAAAAATAAAAATTATAAAGAAACATATATGATATTTTTGTATTACTCAGATGTATTATAGTTTAAAAGATAAGGTTTTATTCTGTATGGAATGGTAACAGTTCTGAGAACTCGAAATTTGGCATTTGGCTATCAGTCTAAAGAGAGATATGCTTTCGTGTAGAAATTTCTATGGGAATTTGACTTGTAGTTATACATTTGCCCTTGCTGTGTATATGATTATTACCACTGTAATATAAATCATAAAATCCCGAAAGACTTTACTGAAGTCAACTAAATTTAATGTCAAAAACTATTTTTCTTGCATTTATAATATGTTTTGAAATAAGTTAACTTTTATAAGAGTCGGGAATTTAAAATATTTGATTGTTCTATAGTTTTGTGAAGCACTTTATTGTTGTTAATGTGAGAATCTGCTTATATGTAAAGAAAACGTATATTTAGTTTTATTGAAAATTTTGAGTAATTTAAGTAAATGAGCAAAAATGTTATTTACTAGTAAGATAATTCAAAGGGAAAGTGTTAAATATTGACTGCCTAATTGTTTATGCTATTTTATTTGGTCACTTCATAGCATTACATAAGGAAGTTATATAAAAGAATATATAAAGAGAGGGGGAGAGAATTATTGAAGTATATTTTGCATAGAGTATTAAGAAATATTTTAAATATCTCATAATATTGTATATGAGAACATTCATGTTATAATTTTGTTGGGTATCTGGATTTGTATGATAAAAAGACAGTATGGAAAGGATTTATTCAAAATTAAATTATTTTATGAAAAATGCATTGTTTGTTTTATTTTTCATATTGCATAATTTTAAAAGCTAAAGAAAACATATGGGTTAATGTAAATTTTAAAATGAGTTGTTAATTTATCATGCTTAACATATAGATCAGTATTTTGAATACTTTTTGGTAATTACATATATTGATACATAATGCAAGTTTCATACAAAGATGGCTTTGAAATGGCTTCAGTGATGCTGTGCATAAGTGTCTGATCTGGAGAGAAATACATCATAAGCCTAATAGAAATTTGTTGGCCTAACAGACATATTTTGCCATCTTCGTTAAATCGATCTGGTAATTATTAGCAACAGTAGATCAGGAGAAAGCACATGTAACTAATACAGAAGTGATCTAAGAAAAGAGGCCTTCACAACATGATTGAACCTGCCTCGACAAAATCCTTTGATGATAGTTGGGATTCACAATTGTCCTTGGTCTTCTTCACTGAAGTAACTGTCTGCTTCTTTAATATATTGTTACTAATTTTGTACATAGATAGATGATTTTAATGCAGTCATTTGTGAAATTGTTGTATTTTGCTGCATGAAAAATTTAGAGATGAGCTATGTCGGAAAAGTAAGAACATAGGGGCAAGTCTGTTTAACATTGAGTAAATGGGTATCTCGGTAATTTGTTGAGATATTGCAGTTAGAGTAGATTTAAGGGTACCTCTTGTCGTTTTATTTTTGGTAACCTGAGTAGTTGAATGCTATGGAAACCCTGTTGTGACATAACTGGTTCCATGATTGTGGTGAATTTGAATAGTATGTTGTTATTTTGTGATTTACACGGTTTACATGGCTGAATGTGGTAAAGATTAATTTCTTTATAATTTATAAAGTTTCTTTATAATTTGAAGCAAAATGGAAAAAAGCATTAATTGACTGGTGTATAAATGAAGGTTTACTTAGTAGCCATTGTAAGTGTCCTGTTTGTAGGAAGAAAATGCGTATTGTCGAACGTTGGAGGATATTATTTACTCTTATTTTAGTGAGTTTATGTGGCAATGTTAGGATAGAGACTCTAGTTCAGATAATTTTTTGAAGATTTTAGATGCTGTTAAGGAATTTTGTTTGACTGAAGACGGGGAAATTTCTAAACAAGGTAAGTGGATATTTACTTTGTGTAGTACTAAGATGAATTTCCTTTTTTTTTTTTTTTTTTTTTGTTATTTTATTGTTTGATTTAAAATGTAGTTTATTGAGATATATTTTTTGCTGGCTGCTCCTTTGACATTTTAAGTGAATATAGATCAATGTGTACATGGGCAAAAGTCAAGAGAGTGCACAATGCCTAGTTTGTGCAGTTCTTTGATTTTTTTAAGTGAAAATAAGTTGATGTGTACATGGATGCACGTTTTGTGCAATTCTTTGACTTGTATTTTTGGATTTGTGTAGCAGTGATATTTGGCGCAAAAATCGCAGCTACACAAAGCCAAATTAACAAGTCAAAGAGTTGAACAAACTCTGTGTCCATGTACTGCCAATTATTGCCAAGGGGTATCCGTAAATATATTTTTTTCGATATTGCCAAGCTGATAATATTTTTGGTGCAAAAATCACCACTATACTAAACAAAGCCAAAGAATTGCACAAATAGTATCACCACTATACTATACAAAGCCAAAGAATTGCACAAACTCGGTGTCCATGAATCGCCAAGGGGAACCCATAAATATATTTTTACCCATGTTGCCAAGCTGACAACGGATTTGGCAACTTATTTTGTTGCCATAAAAAAGAGAAAAAAGAAAAAGCCAGCTATCACCATCAAAACTAAAGGAATCGGGACGATAGAATCATACTCGTAGAATGGCTGTATTTTAGCCTTCACAAATTGAATAAGATTCTAATTAACAAATGAGTCACAATTCTTCAGATGAGACTATAAGGCAGCATAAAACAAAATAAAATTAGGAATAAAGGAAAAATTGTTTCAAATTACACCTGCAAGTTTCTTGCATATAAGAGACTTTAAACATCTATATCAAGCTCGAATGTTCCAAGAAGGCCAAAGGAATAATAATCTTCAGTGACTTCAAGGCTGCCCTTCAGGCTATTCAGAAGGGTGTCTCAAGATAGATCCATGAAATATACAGTACAAAGTCTTTAATCCGGACGTCCATAATCTGGAATGATCTATAATTCGGACCTCAAAGCTACAAACTTCCTGCGCATGCGCATATGCCTGCACATAATACCTTTATGCGTGCGCATAATACGTTTACACATGCGCGTTTAATGTATAATGGACGGTATAAGCTAGGCTAAAATTATCTAATTATCTATTTCAGTTAATGTTGCAGATTGCGTTGTTCCTTAATCTTCTAATTGGATCCGGCTTATTATTTTTTGCAGACTGTTAGAGCAATTTTATAAGAAGTAAGCTTGAACTTTCGATTATGTCAAAAAGAGTTTCCGATTCTGGAGCTGCCAAAGGATCTACAAACCGAAAGCATGTTTCGATATCCATCAAACAAAAAGTGGAATTGCTGCAAAAAATGGATAAAGGCATGAAGAAAGTGACAGAGAAGTTAGCGAAAACGAAAAAATTTCGATTGACGAGTTAGTTGGTATTCTCGTCACAGCAATTACAGGACTTGAACAGCGGAACTTTGTAACTAAACAAGAAATTATGTCTGTTTATAGAATTAAAGAGAAAGTATTAGCACATAAAACGAAACAACTTACATTGAAAGAAATGTTTAATAAAGTAAACAAATAAATATTAAGCTTGTTTTTTTTGTAAATTTTGATATCCTTTACATCATAATTGTTATTTATTTCATAAATTAGTTTCATATTTTTAATTTTATAATTTCTGCATGCCATCTTACCAGATTTAAATTGATGATCCATAATCTGGAAAGACCCCTAATCCGGAATCGCCGAAATCCCGAGTCCGGATTAAAGACTTTGTACTGTATAATGCCCTGGCCCACATTGATCAACTAAATAACATGTTTATATGCCATAGCGTAGTGGTTAGCAAAGGCTGATTACCAGACCAAAACTCGAGGATGTAGTTTCTACTTCCATAAAAGGCTTAGGTGTATGAGTCTTTATATCTCCTACTCATGAGTGTTATATTAGTCTAATTTCCTGAAGTGCACCATAGTCAGTGTCCTCAGTGATGAGATGGCTAAATGATGGGAGGGGGGTTCAGCCATTCCCAATGAATGCTTAGAGCACCTGTCTGATCCTTCGCCCCCCAAAAAAATGTTTTTACAAAAAACCCTCCTCCCCACCTCAAGCAGAAACTTTTCATTACATTTCCTACCTCATTTTTGTGAAATTTCGAAATTGTAAATATCCTTAAGGAAATAAAAGCTATATCTTTTTAGTAAAATATTTTTCTGTATAATTTTCTATTACAAAGATAGAGATTTGGCTTTTTATGCAGGCATGATTTGCATGAAAAAACTATCGTATTTTCCTTCCATACCAATAAATGTTTTATGTGAAAGATTCCCCCCTTGAACCTAATATTATAGCACAATAAAAATTTAGTAATTTTCGCTATTAGACAAATACATAAAATTAATTAAAATATTAATATTTTTGTATATTTTTCCTTAGGGAAACACAAGCATATGTGCAATATTTTTATATAATTTACAACAAAAACTTATAAAACAATTTCAACAGATATATTATATATTCTACATAAATATATTGTGCATTCACAATATTCCAATGACTAGAGTCATAACATTAAAAAATAATGAACATTCAATAAATTAAGTAAAAAGCTAATTCCAGTTATATATATATTGCATATTCTATGGATTCCAGATTGACACATGTATATGTATATTATTGCATAAAAGCTTTTTTCCATTTTATACACACACATTAAAGCTTTATAAATATATTTGAATAGTTCTTCAAAAAAATTAAGACAGAAAAGTTCAGCCTCATTTGTAAACTTTTTCATCATTATAATTTAAATAAAGTGATATAGTAATTAATGCAGCAAAACATTTATTTAAAAAGTATGTGAAGTTTATTTATATGTTTTATTAATAAATTATTTTTAAAATCTGAAAGGGAAACTTATAAGCTGGCTAACTATTAATAACATAAAAATGTAAACTGGTTTTCATATGTATGTAGTTTACATATATTTTCAGTTAAAATATAAAGCATTTTGTTGTGAAGATCATAGGTACATTGGTTCAATACATATATTTCTTGCAAGTTCTGAAAAAATAAATTATAAATTTTACATAGTTGAAACCTACACATAATCAGAGCATAGTTTTACTTTTATAAAAGTTAATTTGGACAGAGCTGGTAGAATGCTGAAGAGGAATCAATTCCAGAATTTGTATTTTCACTCCATGATTTCTAGAAGAATAGCTTTTAGGAGACGAGCTTCGTATGTTACAGTATTTTTTCCAGCATGAATGGGTATAGTGTCCAAAGGTTGTTCCATTGCAACTTTAACATTTCGTCCATAAGCTGAAATAAAATTATTTCTTCAGAATACACTAATGAATAATAATAATAAAACTAACTATAAAATTAATGAAATGTATAATTTGCTCTTGAATTATGCAAGAGGTAAGGGCTGTAGCATACAGTGTGTCATCAAATTTTTGCATTCTTAAACTATAAGGGACACCATGAAAATAATACATTTTTCATCAAATTAAAACAAATTTTTATCAATTTTTTTTTAAACCTAAAGGCAAATTTTCAATTCAGGATCCATAAAACAAAGATGTTTTTGACAAGAAAAAAAAAAAAAAAAAAAAAAAAAAAACACCTGGACATTCAATTTTTAAATTCTTTTCCATTTTGAATTTTTTTCCTATTCAAGAAATGTTGCAACAACCTTAATAAATTATAATTAGAGGGTGCAATGTCTTGTAAATGAGGTAAGAAAGTTAACAACTGTTATCCCAGTTTTTTAAGATTTTATCAGTCTTTTTTGCAGAGTGTGGTCTTGCATTGTCATGCTGTAGAATGATGCTTTTTCAACAAGGGCTGGATACTTTTCAATCAAATTTTAGTTTACATGATCTAACTATTGACAATAAAGGTTTGATCTGTGCCTTAAAATGCATTATGTCCCAAGTATTCCACCAAGCAGGCCATAGTAATTTTTCTGGCTTTGAGGTAGCTGATGGGTGTGATTGGAAACAGCCATTAAATTTTATATTTGGGATTATCAAAAAGAAACCATTTCTTATCTCCAGTCTTTCAAGATCAAAAAATGCTTCTGCTTTACATTATTGCAAGAACATATTACAGGTGATTTAATGATTACACACATTTTCTATCAACTTTACCAATCTGCATCAAATACTCTTCAGTGGTCGACAAAGGTGTGTTATGAATATCCGATAATTTTTCGATTCTTTGACAAGTATTTACTTCTACTTCGGTCATGAAACACCATTATCAAGACACTCAGGTCTTTCTGAATGGGTGAGTTATAAAGATCAAAATTACATAATCTGAACCTAGCAAAGCACCTCTGGCATTTATAGACATCTAATGTATCACTTGCAAAAATAACTTGCATAACTTTAGTGTATGCAATAACCAATTAGTATTAAACAAATGTTGATATGCGTAACTATGACCAAGGGGGATTGGATTATGAGGCATACATTTCCTGTTACGTATTTGAACACTTTATGCAATAAAGTGAGCTAGAGGACAGGGGGGGGAAGGAAAGTTATTAACAACAGACGTATGTGTATAATACTTTATTCATTGATAAAAATTTTTTTTTACTGCTACTTTATCTAGCGGAGAAATTTATTTACTCCTACTCAATTTCGTAATAATATCTCAAGGTCTCTAAACAATTCATTACCTTAACGGAACTACTACATTCAAGATGAATTCTTTATGGTACTCTACTTTAATTCATCTGACTTTAATTTCACTAATTGGATTAAAACTTGACTTACAAGTTTAGATTTAACTCAAATTGCCAGTTTGGCATCATACTTCTTACTTGAGTAAAAGGTGAAACACCTTCGCATTTATTAATTATTGTTAATTGAACGGGGATTGGTTTGTTCCCCTTGAAAAGTCAACCAATTTCTGATCAATGACGAAAATTAGTTATTAATTTTCATTTTAAAAGTTTCCATTTCTATTTTTCATGATTTAAATTAAAGTTCCTTTAAAAAGTATTATTTTTGGGATTAAATTTCAATGCTTCCTGGTTACTTCATTCAGATACATTTTACTAACTTTATATTAGGAGGTAATATAATCAATATAACTTTAGTAAATAAATTTTATATATATACATATATAGGTAAGATAAAAATATATGAAAGCGAAATTCTAAATTTAATTCACTATAGCCTCTTTTATTTTTTATTTAATTTGGGGACTTCCTTTCTCTGTCTTCAAAATAGGACTATAAATCTAAACTACGTCATTCAAGTTGGTCATGCAATCTTACATAACCCTTAATGCAGATATCTCTTGCTCAATCAAGTTAATTTGTAAACCAAAACCCTTTTTGACTCCCTCCCTTCTTCCTCTGAAGTACTGCAACACTTTTTCTCTTTTCGCTTAAGCTTTCATCCTGTTAAGACGCTGCTGCAATCATCTACATTCGCTTCTGTTTCATATTCGCTAAAGTATCAAAGGTGTTCTGGAAATAGGCATTACTAGAATGCCAAGTAAATTGTGGCCACCAATGTGAATTTAAATAAATATGGAATGATATCCAGCTCGACTGTTTATTCTTCAACTCTAAGCATTAAATATCTCCGCAATCAGCATTTCTACGCATCTACGTTGTAGTGTTCCTACATCAATGCTTCCTTGTGCTAGCATTACATTTTTTTACAGGAAAAATGATCTGCCATTTGAATTGAATAAAGATGTGGAATCAAAACTTCTTTGTCGTCATTGGATGCCACCTTACGCTCGGCCACAATAACACTCGGATTCTGATGCCAAGCTTTGTCATTCCTGTGCCTGCCTATCCACAAAATCATCACACACACACACGTATATATGCATAAGATAAAAAAAAACATAAATAAAAATTAAACTAGCATTAACCTCTCTCTATTCTAAAAATAGTAATAACTGTTTCTGGACTGCGTGATTTCTAGATCAATCCATGCCATATGACTTGCATAACGCTGATGATGTAGCTAATTCGGAACTTGAAACCAAACTTTCTTTTAACAAGCTATTCACTTCTGCTTTTATTCCTGTAATGACTAAGAAGTTTCCTCTCTGCTCTCTTCCAACAATATCAAGAATGTGAATGTCCTTGCATAGGCACGATTAGAATGCCAAGAGAATTGTGCCCGTAAATGTCAACTTAAATAAATATGAATATTTAATCTAACTTGGCTGTCATGTTTGCTTTTCAATATGATTTTACATTATCACTATTTCTACATCATTACCTCTAAGTTTATTGGTTTCATTACGTATACAAATAGTTTGTTCACATATTCATGATGTAAAGACTGAATATAGATAATTAAATTTCATATTAAATGAGCACGAATTTAATGAAATTGCATATTTATTAAACGTAAAAGTATAATTTTAATTTAAAAGTATCTCTGAGAAATAAGAAAGCTTATAAATAGTCAATAAGTGCCCTTATTTGAATATTTAAAGGTACAGACTACAATAACTGAGTTAATGGATTGCTATAGAAATACAAAATACAGAGGGATTTAAAGTCAGTAAATATTTCAATCGCTTCAAATTTGTAGTAAAAGGCCATCACTTCCACTTCGACTGATTATACAAATTTCCAAACCTAAAACTGTTTGTGCTTTTATTTATTTATCTTAATTTTTTTAATCATGGAGCTAAATGTTGTCACAGAGATCATTCTGCATAACAGCAGCTTAAATGTTAAACTCAAATTTGATCCAAAGAAGAGATTTCTTTTAGGTATTGCCAAAACTAATACAAGATCAATACATCCTAGGTTCAAACTGTATGGACAACCAATTAGAGTTTCTAAGACAATCAAATATTTGGGCATTACGATCGATGAAAAGCTCACTTTTATACCTCACCTAGATTAAATAAAGATTGAATGCACCCATATTCTTAATAGACTTAGTAAAATGAATCTCCAAGGTAAAGTTCTTAAGAGTTTATATAAAAGAGCTATTGATAGAAAGATCTTGTATGAATGTGGCGCATGGTGGACTGTAACGGTCCGAATGCGTAACAAAATTTTGCAAATTCAAAGAATCGCTTTATTGGGATTTTGGAAGTGTTTTCACAGTAGCTCTTCGGATTTTGGCTAGATGTCCTCTGATTGATATTTTAGCGGAAAAAGAATATGCTATCTTTAAATTAAAAGCTGGTAATAAAACTGTCGATTGTTTCAGTGAGATCTTCTCATCTAGAGATTTTGACTTTGAAAAAGGTTTAGACATTCATACAGCTTTGTTGAAACGGTTGAATTGGCATAAAGGCCTCTTCAATATGACAGGCTATACAGTTTTTACAGATAGATCTAAATTAGATAGTCATGTGGGGGCAGCCTTTTGTGTGTTCTCAGATGAGAAACTAAGCTTACAAAGGAAATATAGACTTTCTGGCAATGCCTCTGTTTATCAAGCACAGTCAGTGGCCCTGTGAGAGGCCTTACATTGGCTTATTTCTAATTCTGTGTTAGATCCTGTAGAAATCTATAGTAACTGCGAAAGCGCAATTGTTTCAATTATGGATGTTTGTCCAAGTAACGATCTAATTAAACAGATAAAAGATATGCTCATTTTTCTTAGCACTTTCAGAGATATGAAACTCTTTTGGACAAAGAGTCATATTGGTACCATTGGTAACGAGTTAACAGATAGATTGGCAAAAGTTGCCACTGAAAATCAAATTATTGATTTTGAAGTAAAGACTTCCTTTGACAGTTTGAAATCCTTGTTGAAAAAAAAAAAAAAACGGTTTGACTCTATGGCAAGCAAAGTGGAAGGACCCAGATTTTAAAGGAAAATTCACATATAATCTCAACTGTAAGTGAGAGAAGATGTCTAAGTGACAAGTATCTAAACCAAGCTTTAACTAATCATGGACACTTTCCTTTTATTATAATAGGTTTTCGATTAAAAATCGTGCCTGTCCAATTAGCATTTGCATGTCGATATTGAGCTGCTGTTTAGATGCTCTTCTATGAAAAATATTGTTCTAAGATTTATTCCAGATATATTACTAAATTTAATACTCTAAAGGATCTAAGTAAAAATACAGTGACTAAATTGAAATTGTCAAATTTCATAAAATATGTATCTGTAAATGAAATGAATTTATATATTGATTGTGTTGCAAATATCCCTGTTTGTTTTAAGAAAAATTAGGATGTTTATGATATTCTGTTATTTTATTTCTTTGTATATGTAAGTAACATATTTTTATGCATGTAAGTAACGTGTTATATTTTACAAAGTATGTAATAATGTGCTTTTGTTGGTGTAGTTGGTAAATCCCACCAGCTCCTAGACTTTAAGTTCATATTTTAGTTGTTTATTCTATTTAAAGTTACTTCAGGTAGTTTGGTGGTAGTTGCACTGCTTAATGGGCCTGATTTAGGCCTTATTTTAGATCTTACTGTTTCTTTAATTTACCCTCTGAGCGGCACAGGATTTTAGATCTGTCATGAAGACCAGTATTTAAACAGCATTTATTAATTGAGTTTGTATATTTACTTATTTTAGTCTGCGTTTTCAAAAACTTCATTCATTAAGATGATATATACATTATTAAAGAAAGTAAGAAAGCAAAATGCCTTAAATTAGAAGCTAATATATGCCAAGTAACAAAACTTCTGATGACTGGATAAAGCCGGTCATATGCTCAAAAGGTTAAATAGTTCCACTAAGCCCTGTTAAGCCTCTAATGGCGGTACAGGAAGTTCAACCAGTCATAATAGCAGCTTAATAATAATGGCTGCCATTCAGCATTATTTTTGCTATGAACTGTAATTTGAAAATATGCACATTAAAATTCTTTAATCCCCATTCTGCAGTTTTTTCATTTCTGTGCTATTACATTATCGTACATTAAAACTGGCTGAAGAACAAATTTTTATTTTTTCAGTTAACTGATTTCTGTATCATCTTGTGTATGGTTTTCTAAAATAAATGTCTTTTAATAATTCCATCAAGTAACAATCATTTGTTATTTAATCCAAACTCACAAGACCATATTTATCTATGCCCAATTAAATGTAATGCATAAAAAATCAGTTTAACTCTCTGAATGGCATGACTTATGCTGTCACTTTAGTGCATGTTTCCTTGCTATTTACAATACTTTACCTTTTTTAATCATTTAAATATGATTTGAATAAATAGAAGATTATGAAAACAAAAAATAAGTAATTACTCAAATCTAGGTTATAAATGCCATTTAAATGCAAATCTACCAACTCAAGAAGATTTTCATGTAAACAGCATTTATAACCCGTATAACCTTTTACCTTTTATTTATAACCAATAAACCATCTCGCTTAGAAGGTTTAATTAAATGAATGATATTTTCTTCCTAAATTTTGTATCAAACAACATGCAGTCATCTTTTCTTTGCCACATATGATATGGAGTATTCTTTACTGACTGTACCACAAGCTTCCATTAACTCTTCTCGCTGCCACACCTACTATTTTATCCTTAAACATTCACATGCATTTTGAGCATTGCTGTGTGATACTGCCATTGAGATTGTTGTGTATGTAACATGCAGTGATTCTTCTGGCAAACATATCTCTTATCAACTGTTGTGAAATGTTGTAGATTCCAGTTTTGAACTTCACGTTAAAGTGTAATAAACTGTACTACAAAATGGTAGCACATATAACATTATCTTCTTTACAGATACCATATATAATGGGTCACAGTGTTGAGCAATGGGGTTCAACACTGAACTTCAAAAAAGAGTTTAGGCATTTCCATTAAACAAATTTCAAAATCATAGTTACTCGGCATGCAGAAGCAACAGACAGTTGTGTAGTATTGAGGAAGTATGACGTCACAGAAACTAATATTTGAAGGTGGACAAATAACATCTTAAAATTTCTCATTCAACTAGAAAAGCTTTCAGTGGCCCATAGAGTCGTCATTTCAATAATTTCAGAATGAAAATAATGGCATTTGCATGTTAGAAATATAAAGAATGACTTTTTTCATGATGTCATTTGAGTAATTAATGCACATGGCACATGAGCATGGTGTTGAATTTAAAGCCATATCTGGGTTGTGTACAAGGATGATGCGATGCAATGGATGTGTATTGCGATGTCTAAAATTTCTTCCTCAGTGACTTCCAGCAGTATATCGGGAGAAGTTGGCCAATTATCAACACATTATAAGATTGAGAAAGGAACACGATTTTGTCTTAGGGCAAACTACAATTGCTGATAAGACAGTTGTACTGGATGGCATGTGTACTTCAACATGCCATCCAGTACAACTGTTAAAGAGAAAGGTATCAAAAGTGTATTGGTTTGCACTATGGGGAATAAGAAATAAAAGCCTGAATCTATAAGTTTAGAAAATTTTCATTCAATTTCATTTCACATTTTCTGTAAGTCCTTTTTTTAAAACATGGGGGGGGGGAGGAGCCATCTTAGATTCAGAGTTATATGATAATTTTTAATTTAGGTTGATTATATTGAATGATTAATCATTTATTTTATTAATTTCTTACTACTTATAACAATTTTTTGTATCTGAATGTTTATTAACAATGAATGACACAAGCAAGTATAAAATTCAAATATAGTAGCATAAGCAAACAAAAAATTGAAAATTATCAAAAGTATATTTAAAAACCTACCTTCACATTGGGAAAAGAATTGCAGACAGTCGTATAATACAGCATCTCTGATGACAAACACTTGTTTTGCAAGATTTTCCAAAAGTGACAGGAAACAACGTTTAGCATAGAACCAAGTATCAGTTCCAAGTTTTTTGGAATAAGGCTCCAAACTCTTTATTACTCGAGAAATGCCAAAGTCATAATTTCCTTTGGCACAATACAAAGTTCTAAAGAAATAAAAAAGGACATATTGAAGAAATAATATATATATATATATATATATATTTTAAATAATTCGTCAAGAGTGATAATATACAAATAAGGGCGAGGGGAATCATAAAATGTTTTATAAATATTCTGCTGGTTTCCATTAACTAAGGAGTACTAGAAAAAACATAATGTTGATAAATTTAAAAATAATGTGAACTCAATAAAATTTGATCACATAGCTAGTAAAAGAATATTGCATAAGTACACCAAATGAAAATGGGTTTTAATTGCAACAATTTTTATAATCAGATAATAATATAAAACATATCTTTTAGAGTGGATCATTATTTTGTTTCCTAAAATAAATTTAAAAAAAAAAAGTTGAAATAGCCATTCAGCAAGAAAGATCTTGATAACTTTATCTTCTAAATGAACTTCTTTGGATAAAAATTGGCTGGCTCAAGGCACATCCGAGTTATTCAAACTCAAAGTAATGATTAAATGTGGGTAGTTCAACTGCTCATAGTGAAATTAGCAACTGCAATTTATGTACTTTTAAGTAAAATTATGTGAGACTGAATTGGGCACACAGTTATATGAAACAGACTGAGGAACACTGCATATCCATAACTTTCATAAGCCTACACAGTATTATCAGGAATTATTTCATATAAACTTGCAGGTGAGAATGGAGTTTTGCTTATGCAACAATAAGGACAGAGCAATAGTTCAGGCAAGAGATCATTACAACATAGATTTATATGTGTACTAGAAGTTAATTAGATACATGTTTTTTAGATGAAATATGTTTATGCTATTTTTAAGTTCATAATTTACTTTGGTACTTCCTTATTATTGCAGCCTCCACTGTTTGGTGTGAAGATTACTACCAAGTTTTAATTAAGAAAAAGTTAAGATGTAGAGACATTATATATTTTAGAGCAAGAAACATGAAAAGTTAACAATGCCCTCACTGTGCTCAAACTCTGGACTTTTGATTGCTAGCCAGATGCACCTTCAATAACATGGTGAAGGGATGTGGTAAGGAGGATAAAAATTCCTTACATTCTCTCTGCTAAAAAGCAGCTGTGAAGGACAGCTACAGTTGCTGCATCTATGTGGGAATGAATTATCGTCCACCTTATTTTTGTCAAGCATCATTGTAGAGACATTGGATAGTTTGAAAGAGGAACTATGAAAAATACAATGAACCATGCCTTTGCCATGATTCAAACTCTGAACTTCCTGATTGCTTGGATGGGCTTCCAGTTACACCATGAAGGCACATACTAAGGAGAAAGAAAATTCCTTTCAAAGAACTTACTTCTAGCATACCATCTGTGCCTCTCTTATTTCCATGACTGCTTTTGATACAGCATCAAAATGATTTTCTTGTTCCAACACGGCATCAAAGCTTACAACTTTAAACCTATTATCCATCTTCTTAATGGATCATATCAAAGTTGAAAACTTATTCAAAAGTCTTTTTGTGACGAGTGAATTATAAATGACTAAGATTAGGATTCTCAGCCACTTGGTGACAATGATATATATTGGCATCATTTAAATAATGGAGATTGTAATAATAAGGAAGTATTCTTAATTCACATTCTCTCTAAATTTCATTAAATTCCATCATGTTATTCTTTTCTTTATGACGATTTTCCTGACTTTTACTTTTCCTTATTTTACATAAATCAGAGTATATGTAGTTTAAGTGAATATAATGTAAGTATTAACTTTTAAGTGTACATAATCTGAAGTAATTTAAGAACATATGAAGATTACAGTTTGTTTTAACTCATATCTTTCAGACATAACTGGTTACAATTTATGCTAAAACTTTTTTTAGGAAAGAACTTAGTTTTTTAGAAAGAAGACATTTGTGAAAGAAATATTTAATGGGAGAAAAATATATACACACAAATTTCAGAACTGCATTTCAAAATTTTATGAATAAAAAACAATGAAATATAGACTTTGGATTAGTTATATGTCCAGACAGCAAATAATCTAAAATATTATTCAAATGTTTACATACCCAATAACTAAATTGACGATACTCAGGTGAAATATTTTCCTATCTGGCTCTTCATACGCTAGCTGCTCCTCCTCTTTTTCAATTTTTCTCATCAGTTCTTCAGCCTGCAAAAAATTATTAAATTATAATATTACATATACATTGCACTCTTAATTATGTAAGCTAATGCTGTAAAAGCAGGTCACAGGTAATAGAAAAACATAGGTAATCCAGCCTATTAATTTTCATGCTTATTGTATGTGCTTATGTTTAAAAAAAATCAGTAATTTTACTTTTCTTTTGAGAAATAATATTATTTGCATTAGTTTAAGTATTTATTGAATTTCACTGCATATTTTTTGAAGTGCTATTTTATCATTGCACTTAAATCCCCTTGTTCTATAAAATCCAAGAGAGTTTCAATAGAAGTCATTGTTGTCTTGGGAATAATGTAGTTATCAGTATATTCTTCGCTTACATTTTACATATCAATCTTTGCTTCTTCTGTTCTTGTGACATTTGACTCCACATCACCATCACTCAAGCGCAGAAAGCACGGCTCAGTCAAATCACCATCGAACCACTTCCCAGTGTTTTCTCGATTGACATTTTTGAAGAATTTTACATATTCAGTCTTTTGGCGTATAATTTTAGTTGTTGCCAATTAAATAAATATCCAATTTCTATATTATGAAGAATCTTTCTCCATGACCGAACCAGTAATAATAGTCTTAATTTAAGTCAAGTGTTTGCTACTTCATACATAGCATCCAATGCAGTAAACAGCATTGCCAGGCATGGATAATTCAGAAACTGGATAATTTACAGTACACTGTGTTAAAATATATATTTTCTTTTAGCAACTTATTAAGCACAAGTATTACATTTAAGAATTCTTACCTCTTCATTTTGTGAAGTCATGATGTACGAAACGCAAAGGTTGGCTAGAACAATAGCGCTGACATTCAATATCTAAAAAGATAAAGTAATTTAAGGGCCCAATGAAATATAGTAAATAGAAAAAAAATTTATATGTTATCATTATTTTTAAATTTTTCAAAAGAGTGCTATACCTAAACTAAATTGGCAGTATCTGCCACTAAAAAGATCATATGCACTTAGTTAAAATACATATCAGCTACAATTATCAAAATGGATGTATGAGGAAAGCTAAGTTAAGGCTGTAGAAAGCACAATTGCAGGTGCTTATTGATTTAGTCATTTCTTCTGTGAGATTTCTGGCAAGATCCAGATACCACTTGCAACAGTGAGCGATGTGAAAATGAAACTATCACTATTGCAAGAATTATGAAATCATAATTTTGGTCAGGAAAGGGGGACGAAAAAAGAACAGATAGAGACTACTGATGTCATTAATGTGTAGTGAAGTCAAATGAAACTTGACGACACATCACCACGTGCACTGGATGGGCATGACATATTATCAAGCTTCATTCAAAATTGTAGCTATAGACTTTCAGTCATCACTGGTATCTGGAAGTGATGCTCATAATAATATCGTTAATAAAAATTTTTTCGTTTAAATTCCATGTGCAAACTGCAGCAGATAAGTCAATGACCATTACATTGAATCTTCATCATTGATTACAGAGTAGCATTTACAAAAAGCGCATGGTGTAGCGTTACATTTTGTAGCATTCTGATGAATATCTATGAATTTGGTGAATATAAGATCAGCATTGTTTACAAAATCCCACTACAATTTCATTGGAATACAGCATTCCTGAATTATTTTTATGAATTTTAGATGATTACTTGAAATTTCAAGAAAATGACATAAGCTTTATCAGTGGCATAGCTAGGGGAACATCTGTCTCTGGGCACCAAATTGATGATATGAAATTTTTAATGAAATGTTTTCCATTCTTGGCACACAGAAAGGAGCGCAAATTCTTCAGGTGTTCTCCGGTGCAAAAATCCTAGCTACGCCATTGAGCTTTATGGATTGCCAGAAAGTATAACAAAAAGGCAACCCTTCCAAAAATATTTAAAAAAATTTCTTCTTTTCCTAAAAGTTATCTTATTCAAGTTAGTAATTATGGTTCAGATAAATGGAGCAGGATATCAGAATTTAACTTCCTGAAATGACTATTTTATAAATCCATGAGTTATATAACTTTTCTTTTTGTGTGTGAGTTTTGATTTGGTTAAGCCTCTTAACAAAGTGCTAGATTTGTACATTGTTACAAAAGCAGATATTTATTGGCCTCAAATGAGTCATACAGGTTGTAGAGACATTAGGTTATTTCGAGGCCGAATAGATGAAAATTGAGCAAACCCCTTCGCCAGGAATCGAACCACGGACCTGTGAAATACTGGCCCAGCGTGCAGAACTACTACACTACGAAGGCTCGCTAGAAACGTGGGATAAATACCTTATAAAGTGTTAGTATACAGATGTAGTACTACAATATTATTTGTTCGATTCCACCCCCATTTATGATGAACATTCTGGGGGATGGACCTCCCTACCACCAAACACTTGAGAGGACTTTTTGCTCACCATGTATTTTGAGTATTACGTGCCGCATGGACGCTATACACTTAATCCATGTTTTCTCCAGGATTTGAACCTGAGCCCAGTAATACAGCAGACAGGAGCACTAACCATTATACCAATTAGAAAGGTAATCAGTTATGACACCCATTTGAGGCCAAGAAAATTCTGCTTTTGTAACAATGTACAAATCTAGCACTTTGTTAAGGGGCTTAACCAAATCAAAACCCACACACAAAAGGAAAAGTTATACAAATCTTTGATTTATAAAATGGTCAATTCAAGAAGTAAATTCAACACTGTTCTTCAGGTAAAAGCTATAGGATATTTAATTTAATTTATGATAATTAGCATTCTAAATGCTTACATACATCATACAGTTTTAGTATGACAAAAAATGAGAATATTGGCAGCAAACTAAGGTTGAGTGAAGTATCAGTTTAGTACATCAAGAATGAAGTCTTATTTCAGTAGTGTATTTCAGACTGCACAATTAAAAAAAAAAAAAAAAAAAATTCAACATGCCTAATGAAATTGTCTGTTCTATTTATTTAATTACAGAGTTATGATCAAAGTTTTGATGCTAGATTCATCACTAGTCTAATCTAGTGGTGTCCAACTGGTGGCCCTCTGCCTAGTTGCCCACAATCCCTTCTTGGCACACTACAACCACAGTCGCAATATTACCATGAGACAAACACTTTAATCCTAATGTAAAAACCAACCATAAAAAAGGCACAATCAACACATCACATACAGGGTTGTTGAACTTGTGTCTACCTACTTGCATATTATCACCTTCACTCTGTCTTGCTCCTTCAGTTTTATTTATCTGTATTGTGGATTAGGCTTAAAGTGCCTGCTTTAACACAAGCCCTGTTTGCTGCGGGTACCACTACACATCTGCACAAACGATGAATCATCCATCCAGCCATGCAGTATTCATTATTTCAGTTAAAATAAGTTTATAAAAGTTTGTGAAAGTGAGTATCAAATTAAGCAGTTTTTGTCTTTGTATATTTTGTGGTGTGTTTGTTAACAAGAGTGACAACACAGGGAGGAAAAAGATCTACCACTTTTACAAAAAATGAAAGGAAGATCTGTTATTTACAAACATTGGCAAAAAAGCAGTTTATTTATTATGCAATGCTTCAGCAGCAGTACCAAAACTGAATATTCAATGTCATCATAAAACTGTTCACAAGGATTTCAATGGTAAATATTCACTCAGGTCACTGGAATCTTTACTAAAAGATCAACAAAGTAGTCTTTTTACCTTCATAAATGAAGCAAAGAATAACACAGAAGTAAATTACTTTTTTGCATCACACAGAAAGGCATATTCAGGTGGGACCATTATAAAGGATGCTGGCAATGTCAAGTCTTTATTTCACAAATTTAAATATGAAATAATCTCAGGTATAAAAGATGTTCCTCTGTCACGAAACACAAGGCACAATGAATTAATGATATGGTGAATAACAAATAGCACACATGAGATCTGACTTGGAAAAATATGCATATTTTCCCTCCAGTTCAATAAATTCACCAGTGTTACTGATTCACTGCAACTTCTGACATTCACAAGAATGGTGTTTCTAGACTTCACCATGAAAGAAGCATTTTAACCATGTTGACTTTATTGAAGAGAACATAGCAATAAAATGACTCATCGCAATCACAACTGAAAATGCACTGGCTATGATTTCCCAATCATAAATATTGGGTTTATTGGGCTCTATAATCAGGAGGAACCATTTTTACAAATTTAATTTATACCACTGTGTTATTCTTCAAGAAAATCAGGCCGCTAAAGAGTGCAATCTCAATAATGTAATGACTGTTGTATGCATTGTCAATTTTAAATTTGTAATTATTTTAAAGCTTTATTTGATGAGTTAGATATCGAGTATTTACTATGAAGAAGTAAGATGACTAAGTTGAGAAAAAGCTTTAACAAGATTTGTTGTAATGCTGTTGGATATTAAAAATTTTCTCATATTCAAAGACAATTATGACCAAAAAATTGGATCACATGGAGTGGCTTGCTGACTTGGCAATTTTAACCGACATCACTTCACTCTACAACCTATACACAATGCTACAAGGAAAGAGAAAACACGCATTGAAAATACACTCATGTTTATAAATTAAGGATAATTCAGAGTCACATGGAAATTGAACTCTAAAATAAATATATCACCTGTAAAATCAATACACACATCTTCAAGAATCATATGCAAATTTCAGGAAGTAACCAGATGACACTGATGGTATGTTACAATGACGAATTATGTGTAAGAGAGTGATATATAAGGAATACAGGCAAAGAAGTAAAATTGTTCGCAGGCGCTTTATAAGCATTTCAGTGCAATAACCGAATAGTTATGACACAAAGGACGCATTTGGATGATTTTTTATGTGGTAGAATTATCGGCCGTGTGGAATGTGGGCGTACCCAACTGGAAGTATCAGATGAACTTGTAATTGCCCAGAGTGTCATATCCAGGCTTTGGCAATGATTCCAAGATGATGGTAATGTGAGTAGACGTTACAGCACAGGTCGCCCTAGAGTTGCAACGCCGAATGAGGACCGGTATTTGGTAGTTACTGCCAAAAGAAACAGGCGGAGCACAGCCTTAGACCTGTCTTGTCAGCTCTCTTCAGCCACTGGTACGACAATTTCAAGGCAGACCATGTACAGACGCTTAGGGCAGATTGTTCTATATGCTCGTAGACCTGTCAGATGTGTTCGACTTACTGCAACTCACTGTCGCCTGCGGTTAGCCTGGAGTACAGAGCATGCATTGTGGACACTGCAACAGTGGGCTTGTGTGATGTTTTCCGACGAGTCCAGGTTTAGCTTGCAGTCTGATTCTTGCCGGACTTTCATATGGAGAGCTCCGTTACCACCAAGAAAACATCATTGAACGACACCGTTACGGTGGTGCAGGAGTGCTCCTTTAGGGTGGAATTATTCTGGGTTCCAGAACTGACCTGCATGTTGAAATTGGAACCATGACAAGCCAAATCTATCGGGACATCATTCTGGAGCAACATGTACACTTTGTTTCGGGTGCCATGGGCGCACAATTTGTGTTTATGGATGACAACGCCCGTCCTCACCGTGCAAACATCGTAAGCGAATGCCTTCAATCGGAGGATATCACCCGTATGGACTGGCCAGCATTCTCACCGGACTTGAATCCAGTAGAGCACGTGTGGGACATGCTTGGCCGACGAGTTGCAGCCCGTCAACCTCCTCCTACATGTCTACCAGAACTTCGGAGAGCATTGCTTTTTGAGTGGTGTAATATCCCCCAAGATCAGATCGATAATTTGATACTCAGCATGCCTAGGCGTTGTACGGACTGTATTGCATCGTCTGGGAGACATACAATGTATTAACAATCATACCAACCATGTAATATTGGTTTTTTGTAAATAGGTGTTT